ACTGAAATGTGATTTTAGAAGTTCTGGGCACATATTCTCAGGCATGCAAATCTTGGCATTACCATTCTGTAGATACAGGATGACACATCCTACCCTTTGTCCAGTAATGATCACCTCAGTCCTCAGCTAGGAATTAGGCCCATTAATGAGGGGTTAATCAACAGTTCCTGCCTTTCCCTGAAAATGTAAGAAACAATTTTTTTTCAGTGGTGTAGCCACCCATAAGTTGCTCAAGCCTCTATAAGTAACCCATCACTCATACTCCTATAGCTCCAATTAAACTCATTGGATCCTCATGCTACACTTGGGTGGAATTAATTCTGTCATTGGTGCCCCATCTGTTAGTAAACATCTGTTCATGACTCCTCATACAACTTCAGAAATGGAAGCTAGAGGCTGGAAAGATGCCTCAGTGAGTAAGAGCAAATACTACTCTTGCAAAAAACCCTTATTCATCTCCTACTACCTACTTGGGAGCTCACAGCCACCTGTAACTCCAGTTCCAGGGGCTCTGCCACCCTCTGCTGTCCTCCCAGGGCACTGCAGGTACATACAAGAAGATGAGACACTCATACATATAGAATAAAATGTTTTTCTAATATAAACTACATGAATTTCTGGGTTGTTTAAAGAGTTCAGAACCATGTCTGGCATGTATAGGAATATACTCAATAAGTATTAAGTGAACTTCAAGCAAGCAGAGTTTCCATAAAGGTTATTCCCCTCACCTCACCTTCCAAGACAACCATAAAGTTCCTGGGAGTCTGAGAAAAGCAAAACCTGATGCTTCTACTTTTGATGCCACTGAGCCCAAGAGACTTGCCTGAGAGTGTGAGGAGACAGGAAGAAGGATGGACAGCTGTCAGGAAGTTCTCAGAATCAGGGAACAAAGTTGGCTAAACCTCACAGCAGAGGACACCATTCCCTGAAGAGCCCGTGAGAGAGCAGATGGGACAGTCAGTGGGGGAAGGAGATTGAAGGATGCCGTCCCAGTGGTCTGTGTAACCATGGGACAGAAAGGCTCAAGCATGAACGTGTAGGGTGACACTGCCAGTCAGCTGCAGCCCCTGAATTTCTCCAGAGTTCCCAGAGTGTGACAGGAGGAAGTTCAGAATTGATTATGGTCAACCTAGCCAGATCATACTGCATTCACAGCGACCTACACCACAGCCTCAACAGATTATCTTTTCAAGTAATCATGAGCTAATGTCAACCTGGAGGCAAGTTAAGAAAATATGATCTACTCTAGAGAGCTTACACACAGTAATGTAAGGGAGTGTGGGGAGACATTCAATACTAAAGCATCCATGCATAGTGCTGAAAAGGAGTTTATCCCGGTAAGATCAGAAGTGATGCTCCACTGTCAACCCTGATTATCAGTAATTTGGGTCTTTTCTTCTCCCTGATAATTCTGCCTAGACCTTTATCAATTTTACTCATCATGTGAAGAAAAGACTTGGGTTCCACTGTTTTCCTCTATTATTTCTCTGCTTCTTATTTTTTGTTACATTTGTTTAGGTACATGTATGTATGGACATGCATGCTTTGATGCATGTGCAGAGGTCAGAGGATGACTTGTGGGAATCAGTTCTCTCCTTCCACATGGCTGCTGGAGATCAAACTCAAGTCAGCAGACGTGGTAGCAAGCATCTTTTCCTGCTGAGCCATCTCTCCAGCTCCTCTTATCTTTGTTATTTCCCTCTGCTTCTCATTTTGTTTTGGGGAGTTTGTTGTTGTTCTTATTTTGTTGTTTTGAGACAGTCTTACTCTGCAGCCCGGATGGCCTAGAAGTTGTAGTAATGCTCTGCGTGGCCCTGCTGGCATGTGCCACCACATGTGCTGGCATGTGCCACCACACCCAGCTTACCCCTTTCTAATGAAATAATTTAAGCTCCAATTCTAAACTTTACTGTAGCTAAAACTCATGTATTTTGATATGTGCTTTTATTTGACTCAAAGTGACTTCTCTTGTTCCCTCTTTATTCGAGGGTTATTTAGAATTGTATCATTTTCTATTCTGGTATTTGGAAATTCTCTGGGTGTTTTTGTTATTTTTTAATTTAATTCTTTTGTTGAATATCTTTGAATGCTCTGCATACTCCTAATGCTTTTCAATTGTTTAAGATTTGATGCCCCACAATGAAGTCATCCAGGAAATTTTGAAAAGAATATACACTATTCTGGCTTTGTGAAGTGGCATTCTGTACCAACTGAATCATGTTTTCTCTGCCTTCCCTGATTTTTTTTTTATTATTCTACCACTTGAAATCTGTATTATAAATGTAGAATTATCCCTTCCGGTTGTATCAGTTTCTACAGCTCAGTGCACTTTGAACTGAATTAGCATAGTTACTCTAACCTTTTGATTAATGTTTGCATGGTACTCTATTTACATCCTTTTAACTTTATAAGAATTATTTAATGTGTGTGAGTATTTTGTCTGCATGTATATGTCTGCACAGGGCCTACAGATGCCAGAAGAGGACATCAGATCCCATAAGGCTGGAAATAGAGGTGGTCGTGAGCCACCATGTGGGTGCTGGTAATTGACCCAGGTGCTCTGGAAGAGCAGCCAGTACTCTTAACTGCTGAGCCATCTTCCAGCCCCAATCCTTTTAGACTTCTAATTTATGAGTTTTAAATTTAAAATGAGTTCATGTAAACAGCTTATGCTTACATTTTTTTTTCTGGCCAATATGATAAGTGTTTGCCCTGCAAATGAAATTTAGACCTTTAGTAACTGACATAACTACCTAAGATTTAAATCTATTGTATGCATTTCTTTTTACCTTTTTTCCTGCTTTCATTTAGAGTGAGTGACAGTTCAGTCCTGCTGTTTGTATACTTGTTCTATTTGCTATTTAGAGACAATTCTAAACTTTACACCTTACACGTTTATCACAATCAAGTACTATCATGCTACTTCACATAGTTTTTAAGATATTTACAAGCTCAAACTTCCTTTTTCCTCCCCTTGCCTTTAAAAATATTATTGTGTGTACACCCTGGCTAGAGGCATGTGCATGCCACGGTGCATGTGTGGAGGTCAGAGGACAACGTCATGGAATCGGTTCCCTCCTTCCACCTTTCCACGGGTTCCAGGGACCAAACTCAGGTCTGGCTTGGACAACACTTTGCTCCCTGAGCATCCTGTCTGCCCCTCCTTGGCCTTTTTGGTTCTTATCTTCCTGTCTTGTTCTTTTCCATGTTACTGGGTTTTGGTTTTTTTTTTTGGTTTTTGGTTTTTGGGGGTTTTTTTGTTTTGTTTTTTTATTTTTGCTTTTAACAGCTTACCTGATAAATGTTTACAAATTAGGAATTGGCTTATTTAAATTTATCCACATATTTTCTATTTTTTGTGCTGTTCCTTTATACACATTCAAATCTCCATTTGGTACCATTTTCTTTTTGCTTAAATTTCCTTGCACATCTCGTATAGTGCAGATTTTCTGGGGACGAATTCTTACAGCATGCCTAGTCAACACATCTCTACTTAATTTACACTTTTGAAAGGTGCTTTAGAGATAAGGCTGTAAGGTGGCACACATCTTTGCTGGGGATACTGTGAATGTGTTGCTCTGATTGGTTAATAAATAAAGTGCTGATTGGCCAGTAGCCAGGCAGGAAGTATAGTATAGGTGGGACAAGCAGAGAGGAGAATGCTGGGAGGAAGAAGGCTGAGTCAGGAGACGCTGCCAGCTGCCACGAGGAGAAGCACGATGTAAGATATGGGTAAGCCACGAGCCACATGGCTAGGTATAGATTAATAGAAATGGGTTAATTTAAGATATAAAAACAGCAAGAAGCCTGCCATGGCCATACAGTTTATAAGTAATGTAAGTCTCTGTGTGTTTACTTGGGGGACACTAGTGGGAGAGACTTGTCCCGACTGCTGGCAGGCCAGGACACAGGAAAACTTCAGCTACACATCTTTAGTCTCAGCATTTAGGAGGCAGAGACAGCAGACCTCTGAGGCCAGCCTGGTCCAGCCCAACCAGGGTTACATACCCTGTCTTGTGGAGAGGGATGGAGGGAAGGATGCTTTACTATCTTCTTACATGTTTTTTGATGAAAAAGTGTGAACTGTCATTACTTTTGTTCCTCTGAAAGCCTGTGTTATTTACTGCTGAGCTGTAAGACACATTTCCTATAATGTCATTGTTTCTTGATTTCTTCTCCTCACACTTGGTCACAGTAAAGGTCCCTGAAATCAGTCGGACCTTCGTAGCAGCCTTCACCATTCACTGAGTCTAGCCCCGTCTTCCCTGTGGCAAGGACTAAGGACTCAAGGTCCCTGTGTTAAAGGATCTTTTTAGCTTACAGTGTGTCTCAGTGGTAGGGTACTTTCCCAGCATGTGGGAGATCCTGACTTGGATCTCTAGGGGAAGAAAGGAAGGAGAGAAGAGAAGGAAGAAGAGAGAAAGTGAAGGAGGGAGGGGGAGGGAAGGATAGATAGGAAGGAGGCGGGGAGGAGAGGACTTTTAGCTATGGTTGAAACACCAATCATTCCCACCCTTGGATGAGCTCTCAGGGACCCTCATGACACCTTTCCTGCCATTCTTTTCCTATTGTTAGGCAACTTTCAGTCTAGACTTAGTTTTCTTTCTCTTGATAGACAACTGTGTTAATTAGGGATCACTTCACGACTCATCTTTTCAAGCTTTGGTAGAGTTATACTGTCTCTCTTCATACAGGTAGTTTGGACCTACAGAGGCAGGACTCAGAGCCCACATTTATGGATGACCTCTTCTCTTTAACTAATAAAAATTCAAATACCTCTCAGCTCTGTATAAGCTCTGAGAATCTGGCATTATGACCACCATGGATCCGGCTTTATCTTGAATTTTCAGAACTAGTAATCTTCTGTGAGCAAGATGATCTCTAAGGTACTTTGTAGGTGTGACATGTTCTGTCTTGTCAGAACATGTAACCAATTCTTATCATCGTGTGTGCGCTACTGACTACGTTTTTCGTTTCAATTAAAATCAAATATTCGACTATTGGCATTGCCCACGTAGTGCCTCCACCTTTATTTGTTTACCAGACAGACCATAAGATGATGCTGGTCCATTACCCTTGACCTAGTCAACCCTCGACACAAGACTTAATGGTGCTATTTGGGATGCATTTCCTTGCTGCTCGGTGCAGATGACTTTCTCATTGTTGCATAGACGGTGATGGGAACATCAGTTATTGTCAGGCAATGACTTCCAGGGCATCTTCGGAGTTGCCTGAATAAAAGGGCAAATTATATGTAGTTAAGACACTAAATAGAAAATTATTTTCAAAGCAAAACATTTCAATATCTTTTCAGCTGGCATATCTGAATGGAATGGCAGAAGTCATAAAGCCAGCACAGCTGCTGACAGAGATCCAGCAAAGCTGAGCCACATGATGGCTGCCATGCCACCTTTGGTTTTCATCTCCACCTGTTGCATACTTGGGGCACTTTTAATATTTGTACAATTTGAGGATGTTGGGTTGATGGAAAATTCCTTATGAATCATTTACACCTTCTCCCAGGAAAGTCCTGAACATACTATTCCCTCCCCCCCACACACACTTTTAGGGAGATATCCTTATTTACTTGAAGGTCTTCCTTATGCCTTGGAGGTTGTGACACATAAAGAAGAAGCCAGAGGTCTCTTCATGAGGCTATGAGACATTCTTGAAACATCTGTCACTGTGCTTACACGGGAACAAGATATTCAAAACAAAGTAAACTTAAAAAGTCAACAAGATTCAGTGGTCTAGAGGAATTGTCCATAGTTCAGATTACAAGCCTCTTCCCACTGTACACTCAGACAATTACGTGGCATACAACTCTGCCCTACACAGAGACATACTGATGAGCAAAGTATGGAGTGGAAAGATGATAAAAGTATGAGGTGTCAGGACCTTCCTCTCTTAGAAAAGTTAGCTCATACAGAGCCACTATATTGTCATATGACCAAGGAACAACAGAATGCCAGGATTAGACATATAGACAAATTCTATAAAGATATAAATGTGAACATTGATTGTATTATGTCAGAATTTGAATAATAACTGCAGCAGCTTTGGCCTGAGGATTTTTCCTGGGCACTCTGACCATTAAGAGAATAATACACTGCTTGGGACATGGCAAAATGCCCAGGGTGGCTGAAAATTTTGTTTTGGTCTAGTGTCCTTGAAGTAACCAAAGCTACCAGCCTGAGAACAGGCTGTCATACATATGCCTCTAGATTCTCAAAAATTGGGTTATGGGGTTAATGAGTAAGAATGATAACTCTGTTTATTAATGATGTCAAAACTTGTGGGAAAATGATTGGAAATGATAAATCTGTTCTGTCATAGTTTTTTAATGATGACTAAAAGATGAGCAAAAGGAAGTAAAACACATGTCCAAAAACAAAAATATGATCTATGTTTTAGAATATCATGAATGTATCCCTGCTTACTAAATTCTGTATAAATAAAGAAACACTCTGGCTGCTAGTCAGTCAGGCTGCAAGATTCTCCTGACCACCATGGCCTGGCTCACTTCCTTCCCCAACCGACTCTTTACATCCTTTGCAGGACCCATCCACTGCCCTGGGGATGGCTCCCAGCATTCAACTGTTTAAAAATTTCTCTGAGGCCTTCAAATGGCACAAAAATCTATAACACAGAGGTTCTGATGAGATTCTACACTTACATATCAAAGAAAACATGCCTATTGTCATATATTTAATTATATGAAATTCATAAAAATGAAATTAACACTCGAGATGTTCGTTTTCAAGGGTATGCAGTAATTACTAAATGGCAAAAATGTGGCTATAGTATGGAAATTCAGACATGAACCTTCAATCACTTTGGCTGAGTAATTTCAAAGCTAGAACATTTGTGGGGTGAAAGTTAGCAGACTTAACGCTCAAATATTGGTAGAATCTCAGAGTTAAAAAAACCCTTAAATGACACTAGTCCAAAATGTATCTAGTGACTGAGTTCCTTTTCTGACACTCCCACCAAATAATCAACCTTGAATATTTTAGCCAATTTTATTCATAAGTAACTCTAGCTCCTAAAGTATTGATTTGACTAAGCTTAACTCTGTGACCTCCAAAACTCTAATCCACTAAGAGAATTAGCTGTGTGTTATTTGCAGTTTTGCTATGGTAAACAGCAGAAGAGTGAGACAAATCCTGCTTATAATAAGCTTGCTTCAATTTTGTCCAAGTGATTTCTCTCATAGTACTTTCTCTTCTACTGCTGTCTCAGCCAATGGTCTATCTAGTCCAAGTGACACTAAATCTGAGGTCTCTATCTTTTTCTTTATATTTGTAGTCTTGTACTTAGAACAATACCCTACACATAATTATACTGCTGATTTGATGTTGATCTTATAGACACAATAAAGTTATGGGGACAGGGGAAGGATTGGTCTACACTTACAAAGTTACAAAATATACATTGCTAAATCTGGGCTCTGTTAGTACTAATTTAATAACAGCAGTGTTTGAATTCCCAGGTTTAATTTTTCTCTTGCTCATACTAAATGTCAGTTAGAGCTCCTATTGATGATAGCCAATATCCATAACCTCAGTTGGCACGGTGAGTAGACTTCACCTATTGGGTGATGTCTCTTTCCCATTACAGGCAGCACTGGCGCTCAGGCCTGGTTCTAGCCCAATTGAAGAATCTCCTCCTTCCACTGGAAACCTCCTTGGCTGGGTCCCAAACCGAAAAGGCATAATTCACTGAAATCCTAGAATATGAAGATAAAATAATGACGGTGCTTATCAAAGATAAGTTGACATTTTTAATGCTACAATTTTGTTAAATGTGCACAAAAAACTTCCAGACAGTGACATCTGAAAAATCTGTAAAATACTTTATTACACAAATATCCCTTGTAAACAAGTTGAAGTCTTATAACAAACTCAAAATAGCCCCCGTAGTATAAGCAAACTGTGCCTATGTTGTGGTTAGCCTGTGGTTAACAGTGATGTCTCCACTGTGGGGAAAGAAAAGATCAAATTGCCTTCCCAGGATTATTAAAATCAGCAAGCTTGAGTCCTCATTCTCTACCCTTCCAAGCCTCTCCACTAAGGTAGGTTTTCTTCGAGTAGAATTTCATGCCCATCCAGATACCTTCAGATAATCCTTTTGTTCCTGAAACCATGTAGTTCACCCACTCCCTATAGTCTAGTGCATTAGTTAAGCAATTGGCTTTGGGAGAGTTGGGTTCATGAGTTAACAGTACAATCTGATTCATCCCACCATCATGGTCTTAGTGAAAACACTTAACTTGTCTGTATTACCAAAGGGTAATGATATTACCTGCTTTCCGGTAACAGTAGGTTTAAAGGAGATAAATCATGTAAAATACAATGCCTGACACATAGTAAGTGCTCAGTCAATAACTATTACTATTTAGTAGATGCTGAGCATTAGTAAACACATATGTAAATGGGAAACATTAAGTATATGCAACACACGTACACAAATTCATTATTACCTACTGTTTCCTGTGCCTGGAACCCACAACTCACAGCTCCCACCTTCTACCTGCTAGAGTGAATTCATCCACTAAGTTTAAATTTACACTTCCTTTTCTTAGAGAAAGAACTCTTCCAAACCCTGATTGTCTATGTCTTCATAGAACTCTCTTTTTGTTTTGTAATAATTCAGGATTTCACAACCAGAGTGCTATGGACATTTGAGATCACATGATTCTAAGCTGGAGAAAGTTAGACTGTCATAGACATTGTAAAATGTTCTTCAGTAGTCACCCACTAGATGTCAGCAACAACATTCTCCCAGTGTTTTGAAAGTTTAAAAAAAAAAAAAGGAAAGGAAGGAAGGGAGGAGAGAGAGAGAGAGAGAGAGAGAGAGAGAGAGAGAGAGAGAGAGAGAGATCCCCAGATATTGTCAAGTATCTCCTGTTAAAGAGAGAAGCAAAACTTCTCCCTGTTGAGAAGCACTGGCCTAATTATTTTAATAAATGTTTTAAATGTCCTCAACCATTCTTTGTCCATCTTTGTCACCATTTAATCCTTTATAGCTAAAGTTTGGGCACACAGTGAACATTTAATAACTCTACCTTGAATAAATTTACATATCTTCAACTATTAATTCACAAGGGATAGGAAACATGAAAATGTCTTTAAAGTATTTCTTATGCCTAATAGTCTATTTATAATAGATAAATATTTATTGGAAATAATAATAAACTAAATTATTCATTTCTAAGAATTTGATTAGTAGACTGTGGCCATTATCAAGAAAGGGGGCCTTATTCAATGATGATCTTCTATAACACAGTCACCTGTGGTTGCTGTAACTAGCTGTGTCAACATTAAGCTTTAGCTACCTTGCTCAAGGAAACATAGACTTACCAAAATAGGCTCAGTCTGATTCCTGTAGAGGTGAATAAATCAATTGCTTTGACCGACTTTCCATAGAAGGCTAGACTTGCCAAAGGAATGATGATCAAATGTTCCAGTGACCCCCAGAAATTATGACATCAGAAGATTCTTTCTCATAGCTTTCTGCCTGCTAATGAATTAAGCATCTCAGTTCGTAGCTCTGTGATGAGATGAATGCTCAATAAAAACTAAGGATTATAGAGTTTTGTTCTTTTCGGTGGCTTACTTTCAACATTACACATCTTTTTTTTTTTTTTTTTTTTTTTTTTTTTTGGTTTTTTCGAGACAGGGTTTCACTGTGTAGCTTTGCGCCTCTCCTGGAACTTACTCTGTAGCCCAGGCTGGCCTTGAACTCACAGAGATCCACCTGCCTCTGCCTCCCAAGTGCTGGGATTAAAGGCGTGCGCCACCACCGCCCGGCTAACATTACACATCTTAATCCATGAAGACATATAACAAATCAACCTGCATAAAGCCACACTCCTGGTTCCTCCCATCTTATACACCATTTCCTCCTCCTCCTCATCACCTCCCGCCTTCTTGTAACAATCAACAGCAAGTCATCCAGTCTGTCAGACCCAAGCTCTCTGTGTCTCTGCCCTTGGTGTTAGCTAAAAGGCTGAGAAGAGATCCTGTCTCTTCTTGCCTGGAATTCTTCAGGTCCTGGGCCATTTCTTGTCATGCCTGGATCACCTCTTTTTCCTGTCTCATCCAGACAGCCTTGAAATTCCCAAACGGAGGGAAAGATGGCTGCCAAGGGAAGACTACATTTTGTCCACTCTTGTTACTGTACTTCCTTGTCCTAGAGCTTCTTTTCTGCTGATTCTGTCCTTAGGAGTCCTCTTACCACCTGTTCTAGGCTTCTGTAGCCACCGCTACTCCACTCAATGTCTGCCCTACTTTGAAGTGATTTAGTTTAACCCTTAAGACAGACAAAACTCTTTAACTCTAGGAAAGTCTTGGTAACTACAAATTATTCTCAGCTCCCCCGCAGCCCCCCATTGTGCTTCAGAACTTAAGTTACAGAAAACCGGCCTCTTACCTAGGAATGAAGTTTATGTTGGATAAAAATCTTACCTCTATCTTCTTTCTCCTACGAGGATTATCTGTAAATATATCGATCACAAGTTTATCTTAGAGAAAACTAAGTTTAACTTACTGTGCCCACAGTCAGACAACTGAAATAATTGCTGCCCATTGTTAGCTAACAAATGGCTAACATCTAACCAGTTTCTTAAGATGGCAAAAAAGCTTAAGTTGGGGTGTTTGAGACAAGATAACAGTGGAAAGATGGTGGGTTTGGGCATCAAAATTAGGTAGGAATTTTGACAGGATGTTAGCACTGAAACTCTAAGTAGATCACCAAAAGTTTACATGTAAAATGGCATTAAAACCATAAAGTATCTTTGAGGCAACTATTCTTTAAGTACTTTTAGTACTATTTTAGTGGTTTATTTGACACAAACTGTGTGGTTTTTCTATGTAGGTACTATAATGAAATCAGACAACAGACTTATTGCTGAAAACTGGCAACACTAAGCAATATATCAGAAGACCAAGTGGGTTTGATCTACAGCAGTAGCCACATAGGAATGCATACATAAGTATAAAAAAGGACTAAAAGAATGGTGAAATCTCTAAATATGCTCTCTTGACCATAAGCCCCAAATAGTGATCTTTAAATAACATAGTCACGAAATACAAGAAAAGAGTATATCCTAAGAAAACATGCCTATTATTGTACTTCATTCACCCTTCCAACAATTTTTTTTTCCTGAGACTCTACCATGAGCCACATCATGTTAAATGTTAAGAATGAGCAAAAACCAATAGTTTCTGCTCTAGTGGAGTTTAAATATTAGATAAATTCTAGATGAGAATAGCCAATCTAAAGTAAAAAATAAACAGGCATTAACTACACAGAAATGGGTTGGGCAAAGACATCTGGTTGGTTAGGGAGGGGGCGAACAGCAGCAAAGGTCCTTTGCCAGTAAGAAAAAAAAAATAGATCTGAAAGGCTGGTAAAACACAGCACAGAAGTGTAGTCCAAGAGATAAGTACGGCTCCATCCCTGAGGAGAATGAAACCCAGTAAAAGACTTTGTCTTATGAACAGAGCCTATCAAAGAATTCTAATTTTCGGGACATGAATTTCATTGATTTGTTAAAAAATTTTGTTATTTCTATGGATTTGATCTCTACTCCAATCTTTTTTTAAATTCACTTATTTTTATTTTATTTGCATTGCTGTTTTACCATGAGTGTTGGGTCCCCTGGACCTGAAGTTACAGACAGTTGTACGTTGCCATGTGGGTGCTGGGAATTAAACCCAGGTCCTCTGGAAGAATAGCCAGTGCTCTTAACTGCTGAGCCCTATCTTCAGTCCCCTCTACTCCAATCTTATGATTTCCTTTTTCCTGTTTTTTTTTTTCTTCTTCTTCTTCTTCTTCTTCTTCTTCTTCTTCTTCTTCTTCTTCTTCTTCTTCTTCTCCTCCTCCTCCTCCTCCTCCTCCTCCTCCTCCTCCTTCTCTCTCTCTCTCTCTCTCTCTCTCTCTCTCTCTCTCCCCTCTCTCTCCTTTTTCTTTCTCCTTTTTTCCACTTTGTTTTGTTCTCAGATAGGGTCTCTCTATGTAACCCTGGCTGTCCTGGAACTTGTTATATAGACGAGGCTGGCCTAGAACTCAGAGATCACCTGTCTCTGCCTCAGGAGTACTGGGATTAAAGGCGTGCACCACCACACCTGGCTTAATTTTTTTTTTATTCTGGCTTCTAAAGGTGGGAATCCAGTCATTGACTTAGGACCTTCCAGTTCCAGCAGATTTAAGTCTATAAATTTCCAACAGATAACTACTCTGTCTGCACTTATAAATGTTAAAGTTTTGCACTTTTCCTTCAGTTAATTTTTCCCTTAATTTTTTTAATGCATATAAAAGTAAAAATCTGGTGTTTCTACAATTGTCTACAACCTAGCATTTGGGAGTTGAAGCAGGGTAATCACATGTTCTAGGCCAGAGAGACCCTGGGTCAAAAACCAAATAAAATAATTTTTCCTTTGTTTTCTCCTTTAACCTATGAGTCATTTATATAATTGTAGCTAGAGTTTTCCTGCCTGGCCCACAGTCAGGACAAATCTCTCTCACCCACCAGTCCAGCAGCCGCTCAGACCCAACCAAGTAAACACAGAGACTTACATTGCTTACAGACTGTATGGCCATGGCAGGCTTCTTGCTCACTGTTCTTATATCTTTTTTTTTTTTTTTTTTTTTTTTTTTTTTGGTTTTTCGAGACAGGGTTTCTCTGTGTAGCTTTGCGCCTTTCCTAGAACTCACTTGGTAGCCCAGGCTGGCCTCAAAGTCATAGAGATCTGCCTGGCTCTGCCTCCCGAGTGCTGGGATTAAAGGCGTGCGCCACCACCGCCCGGCTTATCTTAAACTAATCCATTTCTATAAATCTATACCTTGCCACATGACTCATGGCTTACCGGCATCCTCACATGCTGCTTGTCATGGTGGCGGCTGGCAGTGACTCCTTCTGCCTTCCTGTTCTTTCTTTTCTCCTCTCTGTTAGTCCCGCCTATACTTCCTGCCCAGCCACTGGCCAATCAGTGTTTTATTTATTGACCAATCAGAGCAACACATTTGCCATACAGAACATCCCACAGCACTTCCCCCCCCCCCCTTTTTTTTCACAAAAAAAAAATTATTTAGGATATAAAATAGAGCTACAAAAAATTAGACCCCAAAAGGTGCAAATTAGGAGAGATAGACTACAGACTCTTAATGACTTTCAAAGATTATTTGGAGATATTTCTCATCTACGAACTATTGTTGGGGTAAAAACTGATGAACTGCATAATTTGTTCAAAACCTTAGAAGCTGACAAGGACTTAAATAGTCCAAGAGAATTATTACCTGAAGCTGAGAAAGAATTGGCCTTGGTAGAAAAGAAAGTACATGAAGGGCATGTAGATCGTATTGATCCAAAGCTGGATTGCATTTTGGTTATTTTACCTTCGAGGCATTCTCCTACAGGAATATTAATGCAGAGGGAAGATATTATATTGGAATGGATATTTTTACCAAATAAACCAAATAAAAAATTAAAAACTTATGTGGAAAAAAATCTCTGAGTTGATTTGGAAAGGAAAATTGAGACTTTGTCAATTAGCAGGAATAGACCCAGCAGAAATTGTCGTACCTTTAACTAAGGAAGACATTGAAAAATTATGGACAGAAAGTGAACCTTGGCAAAGAGCTTGCAGTAATTTTTTGGGAGAAATTAACAGCAAATATCCCAAAAGCGATAGAATTGATCTTATAAAGAGAGCTGATTGGATCTTGCCTCAAATTGTATGGGAAAAATCCATATCTGGAGTTCGTACATTTTATACAGATACAAAAAAAACAAGGAAAGGCAGGTTACAAATCAGAAAATTTAAGTAAAGTGGTTCAAAGTCCTTATAATTCAGCTCAAAAATCAGAATTGTATGCTATTCTGTTGGTATTAATGGATTTTTCAGAACCTCTCAACATAGTAACTGACTCTCAGTATGCTGAAAGAGTAGTATTACGTATTGAGACTGCAGAATTTATCCCTGATGCTTCAGAATTAACTTCACTATTTATTCAATTACAAGATACAATCAGGAAAAGGAGTCATCCTTTATATATAACTCACATCCGATCCCATACTGGTCTGCCAGGCCCTCTAGCACAAGGCAATGATGAGATTGATAAATTATTGATAGGAAATGTGCTGGAGGCCTCAGAATTTCATAAAAAACATCATGTCAATAGTAAAGGTTTAAAAAAGGATTTTTCCAGCCGGGCGGTGGTGGCGCACGCCTTTAATCCCAGCACTCGGGAGGCAGAGCCAGGTGGATCTCTGTGAGTTCGAGGCCAGCCTGGGCTACCAAGTGAGTCCCAGGAAAGGCGCAAAGCTACACAGAGAAACCCTGTCTCAAAAAACGAAAAAAAAAAAAAAAAGGATTTTTCCATAACCTGGCAACAAGCCAAAGAAATAATAAAGAAATGTTCTACTTGTTCCTTCTACAATCAAACACCATTACCAGCAGGATGTAACCCAAAAGGTACACAAAGGAATGAAATCTGGCAGATGGACGTGTTTCACTTTGCAGAATTTGGAAAATTGAAATATGTACACCATACTATTGATACTTATTCAGGATTTCAATGGGCAACTGCTTTGAGTTCTGAAAAAGCTGATTCTGTAATCACTCATTTGCTAGAAGTTATGGCCATCATGAGTATACCTGCACAAATTAAAACTGACAATGCTCCTTCATATGTCTCTGTTGAAATGAAACAGTTTTTTGCTTATTACAATATAAAGCATATTACAGGCATACCACATAATCCTACAGGTCAAGCAGTTATAGAAAGATCAAACAGAACGCTAAAGGATATGCTAAATAAACAGAAAGGGGTAACAAAAACCCCTAGAAATAGATTGCATAATGCTCTATTAACTTCAAATTCTCTTAATGCCAATGAGAAAGGAACAACAGCTGCAGAGAGACATTGGATAATAGAAAAAACTACAGAATTAAATCAGCCTATATACTTTAAGGATGTGCTGACCTCAGAATGGAAACCAGGGTATGTATTACGTTGGGGACGAGGTTTTGATTTTGTTTCTACAGGAGAAGATAAGCTGTGGGTACCATCAAAATTGATAAAGGTTCGATTTGAACAAGAGAAAGCTCTTAATTAGAGGAGGTGATAGTTCATCAACCAGCATGAACATCCAATTTAAACTAACATACCAGTAATATATGCCTTTTCATTTAATCAGATAATAACTTGCCAAAAAGGAACATCCCCAAAATTAGTCTTGGGGAAAGGTTTTTGTTTTTGTCTTTTAGGAGAATGAAGGTTAAGGAATCTGAAGAACACTGGACAAATGGGACAACTGAAGAAAAGGGACAAATCATCTATCCCAGGAAACAGAGTGAAATGGCATATGGGTATATATTATCTAAAAAACTTTATGTCTTCCTAAATGTTTGTTTCTGCTCTTCTCTAAAGACATTTAACATTATTGGTCTTCTTGTAGTCCCAGTTCAATTAAAATTTAAAGCTGACTTTGGAGTTGGAGAATGGCTCTCTCCTTCTTTAAACTCAAGCATGTTGTTAAAAGGAAAATGCAAACTCCCTGTATCATGCCAGAATAAAAGAGCCATCTTCTGCTATGGGACAGGAGAAAAGCCAAATTACTTAAGGGACTATTCTATTACTAATCTCAACTCTTTGATTCTATTCTGATTCTTTAAACTTTTCTTAAAGTATAAATTTTATATCAAAATTTACAAGATTAATATATATATATAGATATATATACATTTTAAACTTTGTTAAGATATGAATGGTCATATAGAGTACTAACTAATTCTAGAAAAAAGGCTTCAATTAGCTGCATATATGTCTTTGTGTTCGAGTCTCTTATCAGTTTTCTGCAGGAAATCACGGCCAGGCCTAACATCAACTGAAGTCTCCAGGAAGAAGTTGGGGCCCCACAACAACAACAATTCCACGTGGACAATAATAATATCACTAAATTGACAAACATCATCTACAGATCAGCTTTGAACTACAAGGTGCTCAGAGCAATTTTGAGATGACTAGCTGAGATGATCCAGTCTCAAAGACTACTTGAATAAGGACCTGAGATAAACCCTGAACTTTGGCATTATACACAGACTGGATAATGAAGGATATAGTTACCTTTCCTAGAATTTGACAATTAACCTAAAATTTTTCTTTCAGGATAAAGATAACTTCGCCCATACCCAGCAGGAAGCAATTTTAAGAATACAACGCCCACATTCCCAAAGAGGTGGTGTGGGGCGGGTGGTTTTTTTGGTCTTTTTAATGGGTTTTGGGTCTGGGATAATTTTTATTGTTTAGGGGGTTGGTTACAAGTTGTTGTCAAGGGTTAGGAAAAAGGCTAAGCAAAGGAGATTAGATTTAAGGTTCTTGTTTTAAAAAAAAAGAGAGAGAAAGAAAAAGAAGAAGAAAAAGACAATTACTAGTTTTAAATACTTTACATTGGATTGGATTGTTTTATATTGTATACAAATTATATATATTAAAATTGATATTGTTAGAAAATGCTATATGTATATTTCTAATTGTACTTATACCGTTCATTTAACAATGCAATTCTCTGATCCTTGAATGTTATTATTACCAACTATTAGGATATAAAGAAATGAAAGTTAGTAGTTAGACATTACAATAGAACTTGTAGTTATATTAGATATGTTTTAAAAATTGAGCAGCTATATTTTAGACAGGTCATCTTCAAACCCTTCAGAGATCTACAGAATATGGCATTTAAAAAGTTTAAAATTTTTCTTTTTTGTTATGACTATGAGACATGTCAGCTCCTGGCAGTACCAATCTACTTCAGAGAAAATATGGGCATTGAAGAAACTGCGTATGGAGTTAACTTTCATTGTGGCAAAAGTTAGCCACTGGACAACAAAGGATCCTCGAATCAACTACTGACAAAATGGACAGATAGAACATGAAACAAAGGACTACTGATTCTTGCCAAAACAAGTGTGGTTATGGCTTTATCAAAAGGCATCTTCTGAGACCAGGACAATATGGCACCATCCCTGAAGTGGCCTTCGAAATCCAGAAAAGGTACAGTGCCCTTTTCTTCGAAGGCAGCTGAACAGGTAGTGGGCCGATGGCTTCTGATGTGCAATGGAACAGCAGCTGAAACAGTTATTCTTGAAGAGTAACTAAGCTCACGCCTCTCAATAGTAGACTGGCATTTGATAGAGGGATGTGGAGAAGAACGGGATGCTGAGATGAAGCCATATATACACAGCCAAGAAGAATGGACAGCTGAATTAAAAAACCATCAACAATTTCCAGAATTTAAAATCCTGAATCATAACATGACACTTGTGGAATTCAGGTGTTTCTGGTACATGGACTGCTCTCACCCAATGTGAGGTTGAACTGTTGACCTTGTGTACATCCTACTTCACAAATGAGTCTGTCAGATACGCTAAGCCTGTAGGCTGAAGATGATGCCCCAGCACTGTGGAGAAACCTCAGGTGACTGTCCAGGCAGCTGGCTGTTTCTGTCAACTCACAAATTTTTTGGAAGTTGCTTGCATGCACTTCTTGCTTTTATTTTTGTTAGCTAATATTATTTCCTTCTTGGGTCTCTGAGGGAGTTGAAGATTAGTTAGTTATAGTTGAAGGTTAGTTAGTTACAGTTGAAGACTAGTTAGGATATAAAGTGAATTAGGGACATTTGGGACTTACCAAAACAGGATAGATAATGAAATTATTTTCTCTGAATTTGTCAAATACAAATGGACTAGACATTGTTTAGATATTCATTACTTGTATATATTGTATATAGTTATTGTACTTTTGTATATAGTTTTTCTTTTGTTAGTTATAACCTTTTTCTTTTTTTCTTTTTATTAAAATAGAAAAGGGGAAATATGGTGGTATTTTATTTGTACTGAAATGTGATTTTAATTGTATGTTAATAAAGTTGCCCAGGGGTCAGAGCTATTAGAGCCATAGCAAGATATAATTTTTCAAATATTCTATTTTTTTTATGAATTTACCCACATTGTTGGCTTATTTCCATGTGTTCTCTACATTATTTCTTGTATTCTACTTTTGAGATTTCTTTAAGTTTTATAGTATACATTTTTAAATTTTTTATGGACTTCCTTCCAATGACTGTATACCAACTCATATTGTAAAGGAATCTAACAAAGGTATATTTTATCTGTCCTCTATTGCCATACATAATAAAATATAAATACAAAAATAAAATTAAAATCTAACGATTTTATTATTATATATTTTACTTGTACCTATACTGTGAATGATGCATCATATCAATGTTCACTTAGCAATTATCTTTCGGGGAAATATTTTTAATATAATAGACATAGTTTATATTTAATATTTTCAGTATTTCCTACAACATTAAGTAGGCCCAGGTTTTCATCCAATATTTTCCCTTTGCCTGTAGCTTTTCACTGAACAGGGCTAACCTGTTGTATGTATTCAGGTTTTGGATCCCTCTAAGTTTTGCCCACTAATCCACTGGCAATTTCCAAACCTGACAGTTCTGTTTTCTGTTGATTTCTTTAGTACTTTCCAGATTTTGCTCCACTATTTCCTGACTTTCATTTGTTCCAAAAGTCTGATATGGCCAGGTGTGCTGGCACGTGCCTTTAATCCCAGCACTCGGGAGGCAGAGGGAGGCAGAGCTCTATGCAAGGCCAGCCTGGTCTACAGAGTGAGTTCCAGGACAGCCAGGGCTGTATAATCAGATATTATTCTTTTTACCTCCTGTTTACTAATGTTCTTGTTTACTAATTTTTTCATCTGTGGCCTTTCCTTGGTCTGTTTTAACTGACTGAATTTCTTTATCTAGTCACAGACGTCATCTTTGCGTACTGGGAAGTATTCATTTGAATGCCAGGCAACGAAAATTTTACATTGCTGAATAATTGTACTTTTAGTCTTCCAAGTCCTTTTAAATTTTGGTCTGCGACCCAGAAACACAGTTGTCAGAAAACTGGTATATGCTTTCTTAGGCTCCATCACCAGAGCCTTTCATTAGGACTAACCTGTCTGCTACTCAATGATCTGTGGATTATAAGGAGTCTTTGTTCAAGGTGATGTGAGTGTGAATCGGAACCAACCATGTAAATTAATTTGCTATATTGAATATTAATTGGCATTTTAAAAACACAAGAAATTCTGGGTTGGGGATGTAGCTTGGTGGTAGATCACTTGCCTGGCATGTACAAGGTCCTGGGCTCAATTCCAGTACTGCAAGGAGAAAGGAAAAAAGAAAATCCTGTCATTCACAACAACATGAAGGAACCTCTGGAAGACATTATGTTAAATGAAATACACAAGGCACAAAGAGACAAACACTACATGTCTCACTTATGTGTGAGAGCTACAGGATTAATTAAGGAAGAGAGTAAAATGGTGGTTACCAGAGGGGAGGAGATGGGGAGTAAAGAGATCTTTGAAAGGTATAAAGTTTTAGTAGGTAGAAAAAGAAATTTTAGAAATCTACTGAATAACATGGTGATTCTAGTTAATATGTTCCAAGTTGACAACAAATTTCAAGTCTTCTCACTATAAAAGTTGAAGTATATGAGGCAATATAAGTAAATTTTATCATCCCATAATGTAAACATATACCAACTGTATCCAGTAAATGTGTACAATTATTATTCATCGATTTAAAATAAACCAGCGATGGACCAAATAATGGTATCCCATCAGCCTAGGTGTCAGACAGAGGGCCTTGAGGGACATATGTCATATGCAGAAGATGAACATTTGTTCTAGATACCACTGAACTGTTAAGGCTGAGTCTTACAGTTATTGTGTCTACAATATTGCAAAGTTTATTCTGGTTTAAACAGACTTAGGTCTGAACTTAGGTACTACTACAGGCCACTACACATTACTCATCAGCAGCAGTTGACAAAAGTCTGTTGTTGAAAGCTTATAGGGTAATGACCTATGTTGTTCATAGGAGAGGAATAATCTTCCTTTTTAAGACAGGCTCTCACTATGTAGCCCTGGCTGGCCTAGAACTCCCTCTGTAGTCCAGGCTGGCCTCAAACTCAGAGATTCACCTGTCTACCTCCCAGATTCCAAAGTTATAGGCAAGTGTCACAATGCCCAGCCTTGGGAAAAAAGTATAAAGGGAACTGTAATGACCTGTAATGCCAATGGATTTAAGTGCAGTAAGAGAGGTTGGAAGGCAATCTTACCAACATGGTGTCTGCTACTGACTGTCAAGTTACACAAGAGATGGATTCTGAAATGACAGTGTACAAGAATGTGGATAAGTGACAAAAAATCAAATTTTATTTAAATGACAACTTGGGAAGCCATAGAAATATAATTTCATCTGAACATATATTCTCCTTACAACCCTGTAGAGGTTTTTCAGTGACATCCAGTACTGAATGTGTTTGATTGTGGCAGTGCCTGCCTATCTTGTACCATGTAATTTCACTGTAGCCTTGGTTCTGAGCACACAACATGCACACCATACTACACACACCATCAGGACACACAATGCCAGAAACGCCTCAGCTCAGGTTTGAGATTGTGAGTTATTAATTGTATTGTCTCTACTGTATGTGCAAAGTTTTCTGCTTCTTATAGTAGAAACACAGTGGTTTAATTATACAAAACAATGATTTTTAATATTTTCCTACTGCCATCCGTCAGCACGTATCAAATAAATGTATTTTTGGATTGTAGCATGTCGGAATGTGTGACTTCTAAAATTGATGTTTCAGTTGCTTTAATTTCAATTTTTAAAAGTTATTAAATAAACTTTGCCTTAGGATTAGGATAGAATTTCTAACAATTGCTGAAACACTACAGATGAATATGAATATGTACCCTGTTCTAGATCAATCAAAGCAACCTAATTTGTTTTTCTTCATCTCTCTCCTTATTTCTTGCCCAGAAACCTAAAGAATTACTTATTCCGAAAACTTAATAACTTAACCAAGACATAGTTATTGATGTTGGTTGCTCTACAGAAATAGTCCTGTGGAATATGATGCATCCTTTTAATCCGTTCCTTTACTGCTTTATATCATTAAGTATATTTGTCCTTGTGTATTTTGTGTTCTCGATTTCAGGAGTATTTATTAATCTTATGTGAGCCATTTTGCCTCCCCCATGAATATTATTTTTAATAGCTTCAAAAGTTTTACTTTTCACTCAGCATTCTCTGTGATTACTACAAGCCTTTCCTCCCCTATATCAGTAATCTGATTTCATTCCTCTAGACTATTTTTCCATGATTTTAAAAGTTGTTCATTTATCCTTAAAGGTGTTTTTGTCTTTGATTGATTTCCTTATTTCTTTTATCTCAATTCAGCCTGTATTCTTCAATACATTATTTTAGCATCTTGTTACTATGCTCATATTCTTACATTGCTCCACAGGGCAATTTACTTTACTTAAAATGTAAATTCTCTTTTCTCCTCAAGTTAGATTTTCTCTCCCATCATGTGCTTCATCCATCCTAACATGTCATCTTCCTTCCTCCCTCCTCCTTTTCCATTTCCTTTCCTTCTTTTTATATCACTAACTTTTTCTGTCGCCGATATTTAACATGTAAAATCCCATTGAATCTATCACTTCTATGTATTAATCAGTTATTACTCTGATACAATTGCACCCCCAAATCCCAATGACTTCATAACAAAAGATTTCTTGTTTGTAAGACGGAAGACAATCTGCCAGAAAGCGGCCTCCATCTTGGCTGACCTAAATGTGCATGCCCCAAGGTCCCGGGGTGACCGGAGTAGAAGACTGCCCCACCTGGCTAGTAAGCAGACACATCGGATTCACTCCAGACTGAAGTTATTGGCGAAACTCGTAAGGACTTTCTTACAACTCCTTGCTGTTGGGTGGCTTCTGGAGAATGATGGGAACTACACCACGGGCCGAGTTCTGCAAAGGCTAGAATACCAAGTGAGTTGGCACCGGAATCGCATGATTCAGCCGAATCACAGCACAACTTACGTTTTTGTCTAAGTTTTGGAAGCCCCAGATTTGAGGATTTCAACATTAAGACCCAACGTGTCTGACTATACCTTGACCACTTCCAAATAAGCAGGAAAGAGTAAATCCGACAATTTCAAAGTTTTCTTGGCTAAAATCTGCCCCTTAATTACAGATGTAAGAACAAAAGTGTAAGACATTCAAACAAAAATATGAAAAGGCCTCAGCAATATAGACAACCTACTACAACTTCAAACTTCACATCTTTCAAAAATGTGTAATAACAAACTATTATTTATCTTGTTGGCAGGATAAGGTGTTCTAACCAACCAGATGTTGTGGCTCATATCACCAACACATTAATAGCAAGTATAACTTCATTTTTGTTAAATCAAGCCTAAAAGTTTTGTAGTTTCTCAGAATTTTTGTGGAAAAAAACATTAATTTCATTAAAGTACTAGAGTTCTTGAGGATTTGTGTGTGTGCACGGGTATGGAAGCAAGATGTGAACGTGGAGTGTCTTCCTTAATCATTCTTCATCTTGCTTTTTTAAGACATTGTTTCCAACTGAACCTGGAGCTCACAGATTCAGCTATACTCCAGGGATCCTCCCTTCTCCCCTCCAAGGCCAGGGTTACAGACTCCCGGTTTCTTTGGAAGTGCTGGGGGTCTGCATTTCGGTCCCCACGCTTCCGTGGCAGGCATTACACTGAGTGAGCCATCGCTCCGGCCTAAATTCTTAATTTAGTTCTTAAATGCAATCTCGTTTAATTTACTCAGTAAAAATTCAGTTTCTAGAAATAACTGATTTTTCAAACTTTGCGCCCCCTGCCCTGCTTTTTTTTAAAACCCGTCTACGTACATACATCAAATGCCTTAACGTCGAACCCATCTCTTTTATCTTACACCCTTGTCCACTGAACATTACTGCTCTGCTTGTCGGTGCCACCAATATGTTAGGTCATGTCTTTTGAGCAGCACATCATGTGTGTGTCTTCAATTACAGTGCCGGCTGTCTGAAGCTGGATTTATGTCTTAATTGCTTTTGAATTCTCCAGAAACCTTAAAAGTTGGTTTGAGCAGTATACCGCGTTGGCCTCTAAAAGCTGTGCCATTGGGTCAGGTGTACCTAGCTCCGGCTGTTCCCGGAAAAGCCTGTTTGTCTGGGGTTTCTCTGCGCTCCTCGACATTCGTTTTCTGTTAGAGAACGACACTTAGAGCAACATCCCGAAGAGTCTGACCCACGGCCCTGGTTGTTAAGACTGTGAGCCTCTCGTGGCCCGCGATCAGTTTTGAAAGCCCCTTATTTAAAATGCCACTCGGAAACCTAGTTACCCGTCAGTTTCCAGGACCTCCGGAGCTGCAGATGCCCAGGGATGTTGTCAAGGCAGCTAGGATTTGCCTACCGGGAGGCCTCGTCGCTATGGTAACGGCAGGTCGCAAATGCGCTTGCGCGGAAACCCCAAGACGCGTCTTGGAGAAACCGGGGCTTAACGACGGTAGCTACACTTGGCGGCAGCGGCGTGACTTACGGCCGCCCCTCGTCGCGCGTCCTTGGGCGGGAATGCGGGCGGGAGTGCTCCTGCGGGCCCGCGGGGCGGGATGACCCAGTCGGTGGTCGTCCAGGGTGAGCTACCCCTCCCCCCCAGCCCCGTCCCCCGGGTCGCCGCGGGGCCCCGTCCCCTGGTTCCCTTCCTAATGTCCTTCTCTCTCTTCCCCGCCGCTGGCCGCAGTCGGGCAGTGCGGGAACCAGATCGGCTGCTGCTTCTGGGACCTGGCGCTGAGGGAGCACGCCGCGGTCAACCAGGTACCCCGCTCGCCCTGAGCCCCCCCTCCTGCCTGTCACCCGGGCCTGCCAGCAGGGCAGGAGGAAGAGTTCCCTCGGGGTTTGAGTCTCCATCCGGGGCCCTGGCTGAGCTGGAACTCGCTGGGTAGGACCATGGCTGGCTGGTCTCGAACTTGCAGCCGTCCTTCTGCCTTTGCTTCCCTACAGTTGCCACGACCATGCCCCGCTCACTTGAGCGTTTTTGTCTGTACCGTAAGTTGCATAGGATCTTCTCGTGCGGGATGTAGCTAGCTTCTTTTTAAACCTATGTTGCTGTAAGTCACAGGCAAAAAGCACTGGCCAAAGAGTTTGGTCTTTGGTTTCCCTCATTCTCAGCCGCCTTCCTTTTTTTAAAGTTGTTTTTGAAAGACAGTAGGGGCTACAGGAAGCGCTATAAAATAGATAACACATCAAACGATCGAGAATCCCAAGATATTCTCAGCTGGTGTACGAGCTGTATAATCCTATGTAGCAGACTTTTCACCGCTCTCTCAAATTTAGCCTGGAGTTCTGTTAGTATTTCACTCTTTACACGCAATTGGAAGAACCGACCCAGGTTTCTCTTTCTACGAGCCACATCTTAGCCTTTTCAGCCTTGTAGGATTACTAAAATTGAAAGGACTTTAGAGACAGTAAACTTCAATGCTGTGGTTTGTTTTGTTTCTAGAAAGGAATTTATGACGATGCACTAAGCAGCTTTTTCAGGAATGTGGATACCAGGTAAGAGGATGAGAGTCCGTCTGGGCACTGTGGTTCCTTCCCGTCCTGTCAGCGGGGCGGAAGGGTTCCTTAAAGGGTCACGGGAGCAGTTCCCAGCTGTGATGGTGTCAGTTTTGTCTGCCCTTCTGATTGAAAGCCTATTCTCCTGTCACATTCTCTTATCTGCCAAACAGCAGGCTTCCTTGACAGGCTTCAGTAAGGAACAAAAAAAAGAATCTTTAAAGAGACAGACCTCTCCTCCCCACCCCACCCCCATTAGTTTTGAAATGAACTTTCAATCAGAGAAACCTGAAGTTTTCACTGAGGGTACCATGTGTCACGTGTTGAGTAATGGCCAATGCATGGACGATTATTTTGCTGATTACTTGACCTTAGAACAGTGTTTCTCAGCCTGTGGGTCGCAACCCCTCAGGGTCAAGTGACCCTTTCACAGGGGTTACATGTCAAATATCCTGCATATCAGATATGTACATAATCATAGTAGCAAAATCATAGATATGAAGTACCTACGAAAATAGTTTTATGGTTGGGGGGTACCACACATACGGAACTATATTAAAGGGTCCCAGTATTAGGACAGTTGACAACCACTGTCTTAGAATATGCTGGAAAGAAAGAAGACAAATGTGGGAACTGCTCACACCATGTATTTTTGTTTCCTATAAGATAGATGTGTTATAATTCTTTTACCTGAAAGAGTAATTTGACATTTGAGATGTGCCCGTGGGCTTTTCATGTTAAATCATTAAGTTTATTCATTTTCAAAATGCTTTATAAAACCAACTGTGGTGGGCTTGTGTTGACCACTGTAGTAATATCAGGCTTTGTGCCGATTTGGTAGAAGTTAAGTTTGAATTTGTGGACTAGGTGTTGGAGCTGTTACCTTCCCAGAAACCTGGCTGGTCTGTTTTGTTGGTGAATCCCAGAGCCTCGTGTTTCACACTTGTTCCCACTGCTCTCCAGTACGGTCAGATGAGTCAGAGTCACAGAAATAGGAGGTTCAGAAGTGGGAAGTCATTGTTAGTGATGGACAGTCTGAACTCGGGCTGGATGGTCCTTTTGCACCGTCAGCACATTTTCGGGAAGGATGCTCCCGAAGCTACATATTAATCAGAAGGCTGTTTGGAGACATGGTGTCGGATTAAGGATTAGGTGATTCCATAGTGGCAGGAAGAGCCGTCATTATAGGGAGATGGCTGTCATTTAGACCAGTTCACTGACTTGAAGCCCACAATCTCCTCTCCCTCGAATACTTGTACTCTGGTTTGTCTGTGTAATATTCCTTACACATGCTTGCCTTGCTGGTTCCACTCCCACACCCTCTTTTGATAGCCACATCTTCGATTATTGCAACGTTGAATGGAACTAGATAGGAGACCATGAGAGGACTAAGAGACGGGCAGAGGTCATATGTGACATGAAAACAGGAAGGAAGCTTTGGGGACCGGAGGGCATAGAATTGGGAGAGAAACAACAACAACAAAAAAAAAAATTGAGAAATAACATAATGAGCCCAAATTCTTTGCAAGTTAATAAATAAATGTATTTCATAGTTGACACTTAAGATTGAGTTTTCTTTCTTAAGAAGGTTGTCGTGTAATCCTCTGAAAGCTTTCAGATCTCCTCAGTCTGGAGTGTGGAGAGGAGGGAAGGCACGGGCGTCTGGCTCTTCCCTTTGTGCTGTCAGTACAGCCTCTGGTCCCAGGTTTAGTACCCAAAACTCCTTGTGAAAACTCCTGCCACATCTTTGTGGGCAACTGCCTGCCAGTCCTCTTTAAAAGCATGGTAGAAATATGTCGGTAGGTAGTAGAGGTTGCATGAAAAACCAGACGGTAAATACTTGGACACTGGTCAGAGCGTAAGGTCTTGTTGCAGGTCCTCGTCTGCCTTCAGCGATACTAGGCACATAAACGAATGGGATGGCTGTATTTAAACAAAATTCTGTTTAGCAAAGCAGGCCGGTAATTGGAGTTGGCCTGGGTATTACGGTTTGTTTACTGCTGGCCTGTAGTTACTGTTTACTCAGCTCCTCATCTTGTCTCAGTCTTGTGAACTATATTGACCTGTATACTATGCTTATCCATAGGTTGTAGTATTTTCACTGAAGTTCTAGAAATGGCCTGAGTGGTGTGTAATGTTTATATCAGTTTACGTGTTTGGCTACAGCAGAAAACCTAATTAACAGTAGCTTAAACAAGAAAGATACTCACTTATCTCACAAAACTGGAAACGCCTCAAGAGCAGACCCTGAGACTGGCTCAGCAGGTCAGGGTGCCTGCTGGCGAGCTGGGCACTCGAGTTTGATTCCTCTGGACCAGTGTGATAGGAGGACCGAGCTGCCTTGTGGAAATGAAAGTGAACACTACCGGCCCTGGAAAATCTTGTGACCCTTTCTCAATTTCTTTGTGTTTCAGAGTGGTTGGTGATGGCGGCAGTATTTCCAAAGGAAGAATATCTTCTTTAAAAGCACGAGTAAGATACATATTCTGGGATTCTTACTTTGTAACATGGCAGTAAAATTTGAGTTCATTGTTTCGCTGCAAGCTTGTTTTTCCCTTCTGGTTGTTGGTTAGTCTTTGACTATAAGAAAAAGGAAGGTTAGGCAGGTGGCGGCGGCGGCGGCGGCGGCGGCGGCGGCGGCGTATGCCTTTAATCCCAGCACTCAGGAGGCAGAGGCAGGCCAATCTCTGTGAGTTCGAGGCCAGCCTGGTCTACAGAATGAGTTCTAGGACAGCCAGGGCTACAAAGATAAACCCTGTCTCACAAAACAAAACAGCAACAAAACCACACAAAGAAAAAGAAAGGCAGTGTAAGTGGTATGTAAGGAACTGAGGTGCTAGGGTCAGATGTGGTGTTCAAGGCTGAGAGACCATCGAGCAGCAGGGTGGCACCTGAAGAATCTCTCTGATCTCTGATATCCCTGGGAAGCAGAACTGAAGGGAGAGATCATGTGCATGCAAGTTACGCCTGACACATAACACCTTCAGTTCCTGCGGAGGAAATGGAAGTGCTCTCTCAGTGACAGTCAGACCACGGGAATATGCTCCTTTATCCTTGCCTAGTATGCTCCCTTACCTTCCACCTGCTCACCGATACAGTAGGAAGAAGAGCTGAGTTATGTGGGCAGAGAGCTGGCATCCCAAAGCTTTAGAGACATCTCCTAGACTACTAATTATTTGTAGTGTCTTAGGCTAACAGGCACACAGAATGTTGTGAATCCTGTATTCTGGTTACTGTCATGTAGCTCTGGAAACGAATACAGACTTTTGTATTCCTGGAACAGTTTTGACTGCAGACTGGGGATGCCTAAGCAAAGAATCAAAAATACTCTGAACATTTAGTTAAATCTCAAAGGAAGAAGAAACCAGGGGCTTGATGTGTCTAAGGAAAGCTCAGAAGAGCTACGTAAATTACTAGGACAGGGATGATTCTGTCAGATCTCCCTTCAGCTGTGGCCCAAATTACAGCAAATGCGCTGTATACTGTTTCCCTTGCCAGCCAGCACGGCCGTCAGGTGGTGTGGCTTACTCAGCTGTAAACGTCCATGCACCATACCAAGTCTGGTTTGGAACAAGACCAATACACTGTTTATTATAATCTTACACAATTTGTAATCCTACATATAATTTGTGTGTTCAGTCAAGATTCTCTTGTTGGTGCAATGTCTGCATTTAAGGTAAAAATGGCATATTGCTCAACATATCCTTGAAAATCCATAAAATTAATCAGTACACACCCCTGTATAGTCTGGTTTATGTTAAAAAAAAAATGGAGCACGTTTGTAAAACCTAGTTGTCGGGACTGGAGAGTTGGCTGGCGTCAGCAATGCTTGCTGCCCTTGCAGAAGACGAGAGCACAGCCCTAGGTCTGGCAGTTAGCAGCTGCCCTCAGCTCCAGCCTCAGGGGGACTCCAACACCCCCGGCCTCCTAGGACACCCGCAGTCATGTATATACTCACACATACACACACATAATCCTGAAACATCTGTGTAACAGCTCTGGCTTTCCTGGAGTTAACTCTGTAGCCCTGGCTGGCCTCGAACTCACAGAGATCCACCTGCCTCTGCCTCCTGAGTGCTGGGATTAAAGGCGTGCGCTACTACCACCCAGCAATAATAAATCCTAAAAAAAAAAAAAAAGAAAAAGAAAAGAAAAGAAAAACAGCTACATGAGGCTGAAGAGATGGCTTCAAGGTTAAAAGCACTGTGCTCTTCCAAAGGACCCAAAATTTGATTCCTAAGGCTCTGCGTAGCAGCTCTGTTACAGGGGAGTCAATGCCCTGTTGTGGCCTCCACAGGAACTAGGCATGAACATGATGCACAGATATGATCCAGGAGGCAAAACACTCATACACAAAAGTAAAAATAATAAATTTAAAAAAAAACCTTCCAGTACTCTGCTTCAGTCTCCTGAGTCCTGAGATTACAGCCATGTGTCACCATGCCCAACATCTTTGAAAAAGAAATTTTAGATAGTTACAGTCTTTAGAACATATGCCATTATATGTCCTTTGTATATCTTTGTCTTTGGGTTCCTATTGCTGTGATAAAACATCATGACCAGAAGTAATATGGAGAGGAAAGGGTGTGTTTCACTTTTGTCTTCACATCATGGTTCATCATCGAAGAAAGTCAGGGCAGGAACTCAAGGTAGGAACCAGAAAGCAGAAGCTGCTCACTGGCTTGCTTCTCCTGACCTGCTCAGCCTGCTTTCTTATATCCAAGACCACTGCCCAGGGGTGGCACCACCCACAGTGTAGTGGGCCTTCCCAGTCTGTGAAGACATTTCTCAATTATGACTGATTCCCTCTTCTCGTATGTGTCTATGTTTGTGTCAAGTTGACAAAGACAACCAGTACAATCTTAAAATAAGCATAATTATACAAAGTCACAGAATTATATATGTGTAAATGTAACTCCATGGTAGTTACCACTCTGTAAATACCAAACTTGCATAGCGTTTGGTAGTTAAGAGTCTGCCTCTGGGCAATCTAGGTTTGGGTCTCAGCTCTACCATTTACCAGTGCTTATACCAATTATCAGACTTTTCTAACTGTCAGTTTCCTTGTGTGTGAAATGAAAATGACAGTGCTGTACACAGCATTGTGTGGTTAGGTCAGTAAAATGTTTCTAAAAAAAAAAAAAAAATGGCATGGACTAGGCTGCAGCAAAAGGATATGCTATTTCAGACCGTGAATTTTAAATAACTAGGCCCGAACACATAGGGACCATTAGAATCAACACATTTTTGCCAATGAGAAGTAAGTTTGTTTTTCCTCTGTTGTAAAATCATGCTTTGGGGTTTGACAAACTCTCGGAGCATTTCTCCTGCATAAGATACCAGACACTTGAAGCAGAAGATGGTTGACACATGCGGTGGATAAGGCAAAATTTAGTAGCCCAGTTCATTCCACGTGTGAAACACTGGTTATAGCGTGTGGTTAGGATTTATCGTAGGAAAGAACTGGACCGTTTCTGTTGACTAACGGCAGCTTCAGGCATTGCAGTTCAGTCTATCCCATCAATTTGCTGAGCTGTAATAGTTTCTCTGGGATTCAGAAAGATGTTGTGGATCACACCACCAGCAGACCAACTAGTGGTTATGACTCTGTGTATGTGTAAGTGTGTAAATTTGGCTTTGGAAAGTTTTGAAACTTCTCAGTCCACTCCAGTCTAGAATGGATTTGTTGTTGCTGCCTAGGATAAGAGAGGACAGTAGTTCAAAACTATTTGTTTTCATTTTGAGCAGCTCATGAGGTACACAGTATTCAAGCTTATTTACATTCCAGTTTGTTTTCAATGCTGAATGGCCATTGCATGGTTCACATTAAATCTTTGGAAAGTAAAGAAGAAAACTAGGAGGAGGGAGCCAATTCCTATTGACAAACCATTCCTGCTCACATTTGCTGTATCTCCTTTCTCTTTTATATTCTTATTTCTTAGTGTAGATTATCTCCCCTGTCAGTATAGTCAGAGTTAATGAATTTGACTGCGTTACTTGAATGAAGGCCTTGTCCTCTCTAACATCTGTCCAGTGCCTTGGTTTTAGAAGTTAACTCACTTGAACTGGACATTTCTAGGCTATAATTGTTCCGTTTTCATTCCTAGTGAGCAAATGCATTAATACATCCTAATTTATTGAAATTTTTTTTCTGGCCAGGACTGCCTTCTATATTTCTAAGACTCTGTTAGAAATCCTTCAGTTGAGAGGACTGTTGGGTTCCTTTGTCCCTTACTGGCCCCTTTTGGAGTAGAATTAAGAGTTTAGAATCCACTTTTTAATTCCATCTTAGTGAGTTGTATAAAATTATCTTTTTAATTCTTACAATAGATTACATAAAGAAAAATTTTAATTAACCTTAAATTGTGAAAAAGAACAATATAACTTACAGCTCATGAATTCTTGAATTTATAAATTACCAGAGAAAAGATGTTAAATTTAGCTTCTCTTTCCAGGCCGTTTTGATTGACATGGAAGAAGGAGTAGTGAATGAAATTCTCCAAGGACCCCTGAGAGATGTGTTTGATAGCAAGCAGCTCATCACGGATATTTCTGGCTCAGGAAATAATTGGTGAGAACATACTGAATGTCATTTGAAGAAGTTGAGTGTTCACTGCCTTATCCTAACAGGTTCTGCTGAAACGAAAGCAAAGTGCAATTGCCACACATGAGCATCAGCCTTTCTGCTCACCTTTTAATAATTAATTGATGATGATGCCTCATGATGCTTGATTCTTCAATTTCTTCTGTTTGTCTAATCAGTACAATTAACAGAAAGATCTGAGTCAAACCAGGATCCTCCTATCCAAGCTGACACAGGCTATCTTAAATATATAGTCTGTTTAATGGGGAAAAACACCCCCAACAGTTAAAGAATTCACACTGATTTGTTGTTGTTCTTGCTTAAAAGTTAAGTCTCTGCACGTTGTTTGTTCAGATGTATAGTTTTATAAAAACATGAGTTTGCATTCCATGTGTCAGGAGACCAGGGACAGCCAGTTGCTTAAGAAACGAGCCTACCTGACTACCCGCTTAGCCTTCTCTGGTGGCATTGAACTTGTTATGTAATGTTTGCATTATACTAAGCTGCAGGTAGTGGGGAATGTAAGCCCCTCCCCGAGGACCTCTAACTGCCAGGCTCCACCCACAGAATACTCTAACTGCCCTAACTGCTGGACCCTGCCCCCACCCTGCAGAGCAAAAAGCCCAATCTCTGGACATGAAATCCCACCAATCTCCATGCTGGAAAGCTCCACTCTGGAAAGTTCCACCCCCTTCCCAAGAAGCTCTGTATAAGCCCTCTATCCTGTTCAGTTTGCTGCTGTTTTTTACTCGAGCAGAGGCAGCCATCCTCCTGGTTTTTTCCCTCCCAGTAAATATCTTGTGTGAGGTTTGTTGTGCAATGTGACTTTGTGGTATTCCTTGACTTCCAGCTGCCAGGATACCTTTCCATCTGAGCTGCAATACTTACAGGGAGAGAGATCATTTTTTTGTGTGTTGCAACATAGTGATACTCCAAGATTTGATTAGTGAAGACAACTTAGACTCTTCACTATCATTTTCAGCCATTTGCCATTTCATCTGTTAATGTGATGTGACCAGTTTTTCCTTTTTTAAACGAGATTGTGTAATCCAGGAAATATAGTAGCAAGAAATGATAGTGTAGTGTTTCAAGGTCCTGGAAGTGATCCTGTTTGCAAAACCTTTAATCACAAGTTGAAGGCAAAGCTGTTGACAGCTTGATAGAAAATCCAAGCTAAGAGAATTCTAAGTTGGGGTTTGCTCATGTTTACAAATTAGTTTGAAATGTTTCATTTCATTATCTGTTGACCTCATTCTGCTTTTTAATATGTAAATTCACTGCAGTTCAGAGTTTGGTTAAATAAAAATTTAAAAAAAATTATAACTGAATTCTTATTTTTTTATAATTTATCTAGAGAAAATTAAAAATAAAATTAGAAAACAATAGTTAGTGCTCATTGCTTGCTTATAAGGATATTTAAGAATTATTGGTATATAATCTATAATAAATAGGATTTATTACATGGAAGAATAGATTTCTTAGTACAGTTTGATTTGTTTTCCCATTTTTCTTCAATCCTTATTTAGAGCAGAAATAATAAAATCGTGAAGTATTAAATCAAGGATTTTTTGTTAATCTGTGTTCTTATTTTCAGGGCTGTGGGTCACAGAGTGTTTGGAAGTCTTTACCGGGAACAGATTTTGGAGAAACTCCGGAAGTCAGCAGAGCACTGTGACTGCCTGCAGTGCTTCTTCATCATACACTCCATGGGGGGAGGTGAGTCCCCCTGTGCCTGTAGTGAAGTCACGTGCCGGTGGGAATTCAGTTTGCAAGCAGAAGTCTTATGATGCCTGCTGAACTGAGCTAGCCGGCTTGTCCAACCTCTTCACGGCAAGACACAGTGTCAGCCACAGGGTTCCTGCTCAAGGACCATGCATGCAAGACAACCTCATGATGTCTCATGCATTGTGTTGGACCGCATTCACGGCTAACCTAGGGTACAAATGACCCTTGATGTAGGTGGGATATGCCTGATACATGTATGCTGCAGTGTTTGTACATTTCAGCTTTTCATCTTAAAAGTTTGTGAAGCTGGGGCTGAGATAGCTTAGTCGGTTAAATAAAATACAAACAAGGACCTGAGTTTGAGCCTCAGAACCTACATAAAAAAGCTGGGTGTGTTGGCACGTGCTTGTAATTCCAGAACTAGGGAGCAAGAGACCGTTGGGCCCCTGGTGCTCACGGGACGACCATCTCCAGGCCAGTGGGAGACTCTGTCTCAAGCAAAACTGGATGGCACTGGAATAATGCCTGACGTTGTCGTTTGGCCTCCATATGCACACACATGCAGTGCATGAGCAGACACAGAAAGGAGCATGTGCACACATATAAAAATTGTGAGACTCGGCCGGGCGGTGGTGGCGCACACCTTTAATCCCAGCACTCAGGAGGCAGAGGCAGACGGATCTCTGTGAGTTCGAGGCCAGCCTGGGCTACCAAGCGAGTCCCAGGAAAGGCGCAAAGCTACACAGAGAAACCCTGTCTCAAAAAACGAAAAAAAAAAAAAAATTGTGAGACTCACTATTAATCAATTCTTTTTTAATTTTGAATTTTTTCTTTCACTTTTAGATTCTCTTGTAATATTTCAGCCACATTCCAGTAGGAATGCACTTTTGAGAAATGATTGTTCCTTTATCCCAAGTGGAGTTGAGCTTTCTGGCATGTTCTTACATGACTTGCCATTATGAGGATACTAATACTCTATTAACCACCTTCAAACCTTCCCACACCTCCCTCCACTAAGAAAACTGAAGTGTAAAAGAAATGATTTCAGTCAGTTCCTTAAAAATCACTCATTTCAAGGTACTTAATTGCTGAGCTTGAAGCGTGATCTACATTGCATTATTTACCCAGATGAGTCTGTAATTTGGAATGGAAGTATTTTGCTCTCCTGTTCATAAAACAGAAACAAGATAATGTGCTAATTTTAAAATGGTAATATTAACAAAGTTTGAAAGAAAAAATTAACATACTTTTCTTCCTAAAATAGATTAAGATTCTACATTCTGGGGTTTGCAAGATCACATTATATACAAAGTTCCCAGTGAAGAACTGGGTAATAGAGTTACAGAAACAAATGAATAAAGGTTTCATGTCTTAGATTAATGGGTTTATGTTGGCTGCATGTAGCCCATGGCCCACCTGATGGACATACCTGGGATCTTTGTCTCCACATTTTAACCACAATAAATTTTATTTATATAATTTTTGTGTAACAACATAGCATATGTACACACTGTAAAACATGATTCAGAATACTACTTATCCATACTACATTTGGCACATTGCTACTTTCTCCTGTTTCAACTTAAAAACACTCCTACCAACTTCATTACTAGTTTCATAGAACTAAGTTATAGGATCCACTTTAAGTCCTTAAAATTTTCTGAATTTGTATGAATGTGACTTTAAATGTCAAGGTTATTAATGAGATCTCCAGAGTTTCTGCTTTTAAATAAGTTAATGATGACGTGTGTGGAAACTTTGTAAACAAAGTGGACATATTTTATTGGGTGTTTGAAGTTGCTTGATGACTCGATAGTTTTCTGTGTCATTGAGACAATACGCATCTTGAGACCAAAGCTGTCAAAATAGGGTTGGTTTTGTTTTTAAGTTGCTTACTCTCAGGAATACTGGATGCTATCTTAGTTGAATTTTCCATATTCAGTTTATTTGTTATCTGATGACTTAAATACAAAAAAAAGGTTAGAGAAAGCCGTCCCGACTTGTGCTCAGAGCCTGATGGAGTTCTCAACTTGAACCCTAACAGCCTTGCCTGTGTGCTCTCTGAGTTGAAAATTATGCCTACGACTAAAACATTCTGGGCTCTTCAGAATTATAATTCGAACAATTTGTGTTGTTTTCTTCTTCAAATTTTAATTCTCAGGAACAGGATCTGGACTTGGCACGTTTCTGTTAAAGGTGCTTGAAGATGAGTTCCCAGAAGTGTACAGATTTGTGACAGCGGTTTTTCCTTCCAGCGAGGACGATGTCATCACCTCACCTTACAACAGCATGCTGGCCATGAAGGAGCTGAATGAGCATGCAGACTGTGTGTTGCCCATTGACAACCAAGTAAGAAATGGTACTGGACTTGACGGACATATTCTATAGACATTTGATTCTGTGTTGTGTGCCTTCGTTTTCAGTATTCTCCATCTAAGAGAAAGAATGAGTTTGAATTGTTTTTCTTTTCTTGCCTAGTAAAATGTTATCTAAGTCATTCACTAATAGTTTCTCACCCAATTTTTTTTTCTCAAGTCTTTATTTGACATCATTAGCAAAATTGATCTTGTGGTAAATTCTGGAAAGTTGGGTACAGCTGTGAAGCCTAAGAGTCTAGTTACTTCAAATGTAGGGGCTGTTAAAAAGCGCCACACGAAGCCTTTTGATGCAATGAACAACATTGTGGCCAATCTGCTCCTCAGCCTGACAAGGTAACCCTCCCAGGACGCTGGCAAAGTCACTGTGCTTTGTGATGTTTACACTTAGGAGTTTTATTCCTTTGTTTGATTTGGGGACACTGTTAAATCCAGCCCGTAAACGTATTGAAACAAGCACTGACCCACTGGGCTACGGGCTCAGCACAGTCACGTTTATTTAGCTGTTCTAAGTTGTAGGAGCTTCTTTTATTGTTTTTGTCCAGATTTGTCTGACACTTTTTTATTAGTTCTTTGAGAACTTCTGACAACATAATTTGGTCATACTTAACCTCCTAGCCCCTCCTCCTCCCCAACTTTATGTCTTTTTTTTTGTTCTTATCAAGAACAATTTGTGCTGCCCAAATACTCATTTTGTGTTGGATTTTCATGTGCTGGAGTGATAAGCCAGCATTTCTCTAGGTATGTTACTTGGGACACTCGTGGGAGTTCCATGATAAGCAGTCTCATGGTAGACATGCTACCACTGCTGTGAACCTGCTAGTCTGTACATCTTTGTCATCAGATCCAAAACAGTTCCATGACATGGGTCTCAAATTTCTCAAGCATTTAAGATCATGATTATGATTTTATGACTATGAGTGTATTAATGAGACCCTTAATAAATTTAATAAAATTTCCACAATAAGTAATTGACCTATATGTGTTTAACTTGATATAAAGTCTGTTTTAAAAAGATACTTTTACATGTATAATGATGTTGCTTGCACGTTAGAAATCTAGAAATAAGGTTTGCTAGGCATCGTTGTATTTTAATTAGCCTTTTACATGACTATTCATGATAGTAAATTTCAGTGATTTAGAAACAAAGGCTCCATTCTACCCTGATCAGTGTAACTAAGAATCTGAGAAAATAAACTGCTGAATTACTGTTTTTAAAGGAAAATGTTTCTCATTGTTCTAATGTTGACCTTTTAGCTCTGCGAGATTTGAGGGGTCCCTTAATATGGACTTGAATGAGATCAGCATGAACTTGGTTCCTTTCCCTCAACTTCATTATCTTGTCTCAAGCCTTACACCTCTGTACACACTGGCAGATGTTAACATTCCCCCTCGAAGGTAAGGCAGAACTGGCTTCCATTTTCCTGAGAACTTGAAGTGAAATTTCAGTGAAAACAGTTTGTATTAACTCAGGTTATTCATATCATTTTATTGGTGAGAATCATATAAAATGTAGTTAGTGACAGTCATTTTTTATTAGGCAAATATTTATTTGTAAGTAAATTGTTTTAAGATGTCAGTATTAAACTGAAACTAAACCTGGTAACTAATATTTAGATTTTTGAAAATTAATAGAATTGAATCCTGCCAGACTTGAATCCTGATTCTGTTGCTAGCTGTCTTAAATTCTTCATCTTACTGTTTGTGGGGTAGATGTTAGTGTTCTTACCACAGCCAAGCACCATAGAAGGCTTTTATATGGTAGCTATTGCACATCATTTTAGACCACCTTGAAGATACCCTGAGGGCTGGACATGGTAACACTTGCCTTTAATCCAAGATCTCAGGAGGCAGGAACAGGCAGATCTCTATGAGTTTGAGGCCAGCCTGGTCTACAGAGCAAGTGACATGCCAGGTCCACATAGTGAGCTCCTGTCTCAAGGGAAAAAAAAATGTTTTTAGGCTAGGCATAGTGGTACTCACCTGTAATACCAGCACGTGGGGGCCAGAGGAAGGAGGGTCATGGATTCCAGGCCAGTCTGGGATACATAGTGAGACTATATATATATATATAAACTGGCTGGGATGTCACTCAGCTGGAAGAGTGCTGCCTAGCATTCATGAAGCCCTGGGAACCCCAGAACCCACATGATGGCTCACAAGTACCTGTAACCCCAGGTCCAGGGGTTCTGATACCCTCTTCTGGTCTCCAGGATCACCAAGCATGCATGTGGTGGTGCACAGACACACACACTAGTTAAACACATATACATAAAAAAATAAAATTAACTGTTTTATTTAAAAAGATACTTTTAGCTTATACAGTGATGATGAGCTTGAAAAGCTCACACTCGCATTCACTGTTGAAAGAAAAAGGTTCTTCCAAACTCAAGTGGGGAGACTGTAAATGAGAGAGGAGAAAATAAAGGTACTTTTATTACTATTACATTTTAAATTTTTATTTTGTATGTGCTATGGTGTGTTTGAAGAGCAGAGAACACCTTGTGGGATTCAGTTCTTTCCACCATGGGGTCCCAGGAATTGAACCCAGGTTGCCAGGCTTGATAGCAAGCACCTTCATCTGCTGAGCCATCTTGTGGGCCCAGAGGGTTTTGTTCCTGTTGTTTTAAGATTTTTTTAAATTAAGTGGATGTTGTAGGTGTGTGTGTGAGTGTCAGGACAGGTGCCTGCAGAGGCCAGAGGCAACAGACCCCCCTGAGGTGTGCTGTAAGCTGTTCTGTGTGGGTTCTGGGAATTGAACTCAGGCCCTCTACAGAATAATACATGCTTCTAACCACAGAGCCATCTCTCTAGCCCTCAAAACTTCTTTTTTACAGTTAAAGTTTTGGTAAGGTAACAGTTCTATACTTCAGGAATATTACAAGTGATGTTAGTAAGCTGTATTGAAGCAACTAGCAAATGGCCAGTTGTGCCAGCCAGTAACTAGGACCCTTATCTGCCAGGGATCCTGTAATGATCCCAACAGGGAAGCAGGGTGTGGTGCATTGATGGTGATCGATGATTGCTCACTGGGTCATCAGCACTTACCATGTTTAAGAAGAGTGAGCACTTTCAGTGTGGACACACCAAATGGAACTTGGTAGGAAACTTTTTTTTTCCCATTTTTTGAGACAGGGTTTCTCGGTGTAGCCCTGGCTGTCCTGGAACTTGCTCTGTAGACCAGACTGGCCTCAAACTCAGAGATCCATCCACTTGCCTCTGCCTCCTGAGTGCTGGGTTAAAGTGTTCACTACCACACCCAGCAGTAGTAAACTATAATGTAGTGGGATTTTTATATCTAAAGTTAATCTTATATTTCTAAGTACAGCATAATGAAAAAGGAACATGTTTGACTTGTCCTCTAACTTAAATATTTCAAAGTCAGTGAAATATTCTGTAATCTGCTTGGTATATTTTGATAAGAATAATACTTGTATCAACATTTTAATTTTAATCATGACAGTTTGTGGTGGCTGATTTTCATTAAAGTATTTTAGTAAAAATCCACAAGGACTTTTTAAAATGCTACACTAATTTGTCATGGTGTCCTTTTCTGTCATCAAGGGTTTAGTGGGGTTTTTTTGTTTTGTTTTGTTTTTCTGTATCTGCTCTCCTATAGATAATCCAAAGGCTGTCCTACTGCTGTATATTTTCATTTTATAATTATGTTTAGAAGAAAGAGATACATTTTGTATAAACAGTGGCGCTTTCCTGTTGTAGATTGGACCAGATGTTTTCAGATGCCTTTAGTAAAGATCACCAACTCATTCAAGCAGACCCCAGACATAGTCTCTACCTCGCCTGTGCCCTCATCGTTAGAGGAAACGTACAGATTTCAGATCTGCGCAGAAATATTGAAAGGTTTGCTTCTGCTGGTGTCCTTGTTTTGCTGGTGTGTACTGAGCTGCTGTAATGTGGCATTTTTAGTACCTTAGTTCTTACCTTAGGGTTTTTGTGTCTCAGATTAAAACCTGCTCTGCAATTTGTCTCCTGGAATCAAGAAGGCTGGAAAACTAGCCTGTGTTCAGTACCGCCCGTGGGTCACTCCCATTCATTATTGGCTTTAGCAAACAACACGTGTGTGAAGCCTACTTTCATGGAACTGAGAGAAAGGTTCATGAGGCTCTACAAGAAAAAGGTAACTGCACTTCCTTTGGCTAAGAGGTACGGGAAGTCAGGGCTAAAGTTGTCCAGCATATGTGTTACACTAGTTGTAACCAAAGAGAAGTTCACCTGTGCTACTTTAAATCTAAATGAGAAATTCCATGAATTCAAAGGATTTAGGCAGTACACTAATTGTGGTTAAAAGAAATCATTTATTCTTCGACAGTTTCACAAATGTGTATAATGTATTCTGAGTATATTCTTCCCACACTGGCCCCCCACTCCCTTTGTACTGCTTCTTCCCAACAAGTCCCCCAGTTTCATTTCTTTCCTAGTGACTCACTGAGTTATTGGGGTTGCTTGCATGAGCACGAGTGTGGAGTTTCACTGATGCATGGGCAATTTACCAGTGACTACATCACTGAGCAAGAATGACTCGCCCTTCCCCAGCAAACATTAACTACTAGTAGCTCTGCACTAGGGGTGGGGCCTCATTGGCCCCTCCCCAGTCCATGTTACGCTGTTGGCAGGTGTAATGTTATGCAGCTCTTGTGCAGGTAACCACAGCTCCCGTGAGTTCATGAGCACAGTGGCCATGCCATGTCCAGAACACGAGCTCACATCACTCCTTCCATATTCTGGCTCTTACAGTCTTTCTGCACTATCTTCTACAGTGTGCCCTGAGCCTCGGTGAGGCCAAGGCTTGGGGGGAAGGATTCTATAGATGTTCCATTTATAGCTAAGTTCTCAATAGTCAATTATTCTCTGCATTTTGACTAGTTAGTCTCTGCACTGTCCACTAGAAGGAAGAAAAAGCCTTTGTGACCAACGTTGAGAGCAGCACTATTCTATGGATAGAAATACAAATGGACAGTTTTACAGCATGTCCACTTAGCAGAACAATGGCAAAAGATTGTCCCTTACGTCCTAGGACCTCCTGAGTAGTGGGCTTTGGCCTGGGTTCCAGCTCCAATGGAGGGAGCCTCAGATCCAATCAGAAATCGGTTGATTACCCCCATATCAGTCATGCCATTCTTGTGCTTGTGGACACACCTTCAGGCACAGTGTTTGTTTGATGTAAGTTCCTGCTTCCAGTTTAGAGCTTAATACTCTGTATGTGTGGGTTTTTTTAATTTATTTAATCTTTCGCTGTTTCCTACATACATAGGACCTACTTGATCATATTTCCCCATTATCCTCTCTTACTGCCCTCCAGCCGAAGCCTCTGCCTCTCAGTTGTCTTCCTACCTTCATGTCTTTGTGTGTGTGTGTTCCCCCACTGTAATTACTTAGGGTCCTTGAATGAGCGTGGGTGGGGCTTTTGCTTGAGCAAGGCTGCTTACAAGTGGGTTAACCACTGAGGACTGCCTCACCCCTTCCCCAGCAACCCTTAACTGCATGTAGCTCCCAGGGAGGGATGGGTGAGTGACCTATAATTTTAACAGTATTTGCTCCACGGGGTAGCTGTATGTCGTAGAGTTCCCGAGATGGTAATGTTCAATGTTTCCATTGCAGGCTCACCTGCATCACTATCTGCACGTTGACGGGATGGAGGAAGGTGCCTTTGCAGATGCTCTGTCCTCTCTGTCAGCACTCATACAGGAGTATAATGAACTGGATGCCACAAAGGGCATGCCTGTGCAGGATGTGCCTAGGCTGAGCGTGGCCTTGTGAAAGAAGAAGCTGAAAATGCATTGTTACTCTTTTCTGATTCACGCTGGTGTTTGTCCCCTTTCTCTTTCTGCATTTTCTGTGATTCAGAAAGCCCAATTTGTTTTTCACAGTATCGGGAAGTATTTTATCTAAAACAATGGTGTCTATTTTATTATAATTTTTTTATACCAATGTGTGGGATCACTTCTAGCAATTTGTCGAAATTAAGAGAGAGCCTGGCATGGTGATACACGCATGTAATCCTAGTGTGTCTGACATACAGGATAACCGCGTGGGCCAGCCTGGGCTACACAGTGAGAGCCACTGTAGAGTGAAAGAGTGGTTCCCATCGCCTTGCTTTACTCATGGCTTCCTTCTGCAGACCTTTGCACACTGTGAACGCCTCAGGAAAGACTGTAGATTCTTTTTATATTTATGCTTTATGTTTTCATACTCTGTTTAAGTGCTGGAAAAGGAGGTCCTAGGAATGGAAGGACACAGTGTATGATGTCTGTGGACTTTTGAGGATAGTTTTTATTAAAACTGAAAAGACTGCTTTGCTGTTTGAGTAATAATATGTTTGTATTCAAGAGAATCACAACTTAGACATCCAGTCACGTTTAAAATGAAGAATTTAAAGGCAAATGTTTATCACGTCACCGTTTGCACACCGAGCAGAACATGCCAGGCTTGCTATCGTCATCTGAATTTGGTAGTAAATAAATGGTCTTTATCTATGGAAATTATTCAAGTCTCCATAATCTTTGGAATCTTTTATGTTGTTTTTAGTTCTGATCCATTGGTTGGTTTAATCCTTCAAGGAAATAATTTTTAGGGAAAAAATTCAAGAAAAAATAATCTATTGTATGCTTTGTTTATTAATATTTTATGTTTCTTTTGCTAAATAAGTATTCTAATTTTGGTTTTACATCAGTAATTTATTTTTTTATAGTATTTGGTATAAAAATTGCAATATACAGTTATTAACAGTAGTCACAGACATTCCATTTTCTCCTTCCTAGAAGAATCTTAACTGATATTCAGAACGTGGCAATGAAGACTATAGATACATTTATAGTATCATTTTTAAGAATCTAGCCAGGCAGTGGTGGCACACGCCTTTAATCCCAGCACTCGGGAGGCAGAGCCTCTCTGTGAGTTTGAGGCCAGCCTGAGTTCCAGGACAGTCACCAAGACTACACAGAGAAACCCTGTCTTGGAAAACCAAAATAAAATAAAATAAGGAATCTTGCTTTCCTTCTAATTATCATGTGATGGGATCTGATGGACTGCATTGCCAAGTACAGGATAAAATTTAAATTATGTCTTTCTATATCTATAGAAAATGTTTTCTTATAAATTGTTTTTTTTTCCCATTATATGTGAAATCCTTATATGGTATCATCTATGTGTATATTACATAATTATAGAGATATGCTCAAGAAATGAGTTGTATTTAAAATTTTTCAGGCATTCATTTTCATTTTATTAGAATATTTTTTAGAAACTTCTGATGTCACAAATATAGCAACTGAAGAATGACTCGTTCTTTCTGTTTTAAATCCATTAAATAAAATTTTCAATCTTTTATAGCCACTCTAGTTTTTTGATTCTATGACATGAATGACTTGGCCTTCAACTTTCCTGCCTGTGTTTGGCTCTATAGAATCCTGAGCTCAGAAAATATATCTCCTGGTTCTCTGCAGTCTCTCTGACACACACAGGATGTGACCCAGAGCATCCGCCACTGAAATGACCCTTCACTGGGGCAGTCAAACTGGACCGTAATCATTTTAGACTTGTTGGGGACACAGCATCTCTTGTCCAGGCACAGTCCACAGAAAATGGGTCTGTAACTCTGCGTACTTGAGCATCCAGAAAAGACAAACTTTTCAGCTTTGGAGAGCTGGAAAGTGGGTTGACAGGTTTTTCCTCTGGGGATCTGAAAAGATAATAAAGTTACAAAGTCATTCTTTGAGTTGGCTTACACTAACTTAAGAATTTCATGACAGATACTAGATACAGTTCTTTCTTGGGCACTAATAGTAGTAGTTGTTTGTGACAACTAAGGCCCTCTTCTCTGTAAATACATGAATTTGAGGCCAGCATGGACTACATAGTGAGTTCTGGGACAGTATAGAGAGACCTTGTTTCCAAAACTGAATAAATAAAATAATTCTCTTGCCTCAATCAAAAAATCAGACCAGCTCTACACTTTTGTGCCAGCTGTAGGATAACATGTCCTTTGGTAAGTTTAACATGTGCAGAGCATTTTGGTGTGATCCTCCTCCAAGCCAGCCAGTCATGTAACTATGATCAGAACATCTGTTTTCATAGATATGGTATAACAACCAGAATTTTATGTTCAATACTGTGGTTGCACTTCTACAATTAGTATAAACAAGAAAAAAGTTAGAATCCAAGAAGTATCTATTCTGAAGCAACGGTATGCATGATGGGTTACAAGAAACTGGGCTACTCAAGACCCATATTTTTTGTTTGGTTGGCTGGTTTTTTGAGACAGGGTTTCTCTGTGTAGTCCTGGCTGTTCTGTAACTTGAGCTCAGACCAGGCTGGCCTCGAACTCAGAGATCCGCCTGCCTCTCAATCCCTCCAGGCTGGGATTAAAGGAGTGCACCACCACCGCCCAGCAAGACCCACATTATTAAACTGACAGAACACCTACAATCAGCAGGTTAACATCACTGCTATATAAAATTTTCCTGCATAGTTGAGCTAGATCAACACCTGTTGTCCTCTGAGACAATTTGACTTTAAGAGTAGTCACAGTGAGGTGGTTTTGTTTGATAAGCTCCAAATACTATCCCTCCCTCCAGAACGTATACACACACTTACTTTTCAGGAACTTCTTAATATCGATGCATAATTCAGTTAAATCTGTTTACACTTTACCTTCACAGCCTTTGATATATTACTGTTGCAGGGTTGAATATAGCATAGCCTCTTCTCTCTTCTCATTTCACAGTTGCTGTTTTCATTGGTCACCCTGTTAGAAATCCCCATTCCACATGTTCTGGAGCAGGGAGTCCACTTGGTTGCTTGCACAAGGCATTTTTTTTTCCAAGTAAGCTGAAGGTTCCTGTAAGCTAACATAAATGGAGGAGTGCGTATGTGTGTACATGTGTACTTAACCTGGATTTAATTTTTAAACATAAAGTCGGTATCTAAAAGTTGTAAGGCTTTTTGCATGAAATTATAAGTGCTTACGTTCTAAGTCACCCTTTCCTTCCTGGTGCCTAAGTGCCTTTCTGTCAAGTGGGCCGTGTAGTTTCCTAGGGAATAAAGACTCTTTATCTTCACCCACTGATGTCATTCTGACACGTCTGTCTTCTGAGTATCAGACTGGTTCCGATCAGTGCCTGTCTTTTGTTTGCTTTTGCCTGATATTTCCAGCAGATACCAAAGTAAATGTTGGTAGGATTAAGGAATTCGGGACATTAATCAGAATAGTGTGGGTTTTCTTTCCTTAAGACATGGTTTTGCTGTGTAGCTCAGACTGCCCACTAACTTGCAATCCTTCTGCCTTCCAAGCACTAGGAATATAGGCTCCATACCTGTATCACCATGACTGATGTAATAATATGATCTTAGTAATTAAATTTCATGATATGTTAAAAATCTAAAATAAAATCATATTTAAGAATGAGACAAAAAAATCAATCTCTTCCCCTTTAAAATCTAGTCTTAGAAAAATCTTAGGGTGAGGCCCATAGGTTTCAGTGTGTACGTGCAGGTCAGGACAACTCTATGTCATCAGTTCTGTCCTTGCCCCTTTGTGTGGAGCTCAAATTTGGGTCACCAGACTTGCACAGCAAATGTATAACAAACTGAATCAATACCATACTGCACTAAATTAGTTTTATATATAAATCATTGCAAATGTCTGTCTCATTCCCTGTTGTCAGGCCCACAGTACTCTCTGTAAGCTAGCCACATAAAACCACCTGTGAAATACTTAGGCAGTGCAACTGTGGATGAATTCTGAATGGAGAAATGGAACCCCTTCACTGCCTATTGCTTAAAAGAAACAGGAAAAAAGATAATTCTTCCATAATAATTTTCCATGAAAAAACATTAGGAGATTGTTACTATACTCGAGTGAAACAGACCTCTTGGTTCATAGTAAGTAAACAGCATAAATTTGTTACTTCAAGGCATTTCTCTAAAGTTGATGTACATTGTGGGAGCCCACAGAGGTTTCCTAGTGAGATCTGAGCTTGCTTTACCTAGCAGGGCTGCATAAGGGCATGGATTAACCACATGTATGGTTACCAGGTATTTGGAAGGGTCTGCACTTGGATGTATGGTATGCTTTGATCTAGCAAGGGGGAGGTCTTTTGCCCTGTACCTTGGCATTCTTTTAAAAAGCCCTTTAGAAGAGACAGAAGGGGCCGGTGGATTTTGATCCAGGTCCTCCTAAAGCTATCCTATGCTTCTGTCTGTCTCATCTCCACTATCTATCTACTAATGCCTTATACCTTTTTCCTCCTCATAGGAACCCTATAAAAGATGGAAGTGCCCCCACACACAAATGGTGCCAGAACTAGGGACTTGAGTGCAGAGGAAGTTAAGTGAGAGTAGGAAAGAACCCCCACAGAAGCAGTTGGATATGTCTGGTTTTGTAGTGAAGAATAAGGGAGTGGTATTTTATTTGGGAGCTATAACTGTAAATATAAAGCAGTATAGAAATAGGCTGCAGTGATTACCTCTCTTTGTCTAGGTTTTTCATTCTCTCAATTTCTATTAAATAAAAATATAGGTTTAAGTATAGTAATATAGTATAGGAAAAAATCTTAGGGTAAGGTAGAATATAGGAATATAAGTGTAGGAAAAAAAAACTTAGAAAAGCAACAAGACAGAGGAGCTGTGTTTTTGGAACTGAACACTGACTCCTGGGGAAGAATTGTGGTTGAAATGCAAAAAATATTATGAGGAATACAGGCCGATTCCCATAGAAGCTTTTAGCCTGTGGGTGTTGATTTAGGACAGTTTAGATCTAAGCCCTGAGAAGCATGGGGGTAATTTTCCCTGAGGTTGACATGGGAAAGACAAAACCCTCCACTCCACCAGCAGTGCCTGAGAACACTTTTACAGCATCATACCATCAGAATCAGTTTCTTCTTGGCTTAGGGAATAGAGTCTTGGGGAAAATCTAGTAATTTCTCTCTAAAAAACTGAAAGCTTTTCAGGTCTTTCCTTCTCAGATCTCTTTTCTTCCTGTAAGGATAAAATTAAATTCACCTGGAAATAACATCTATCAGAAAGAGACGGTCACCTGTAATTGCCCTAGAAAAAATAAAAAACCTCTTGGAATATGGCAACCCTCTCTGCTAGTCCTGTCTCCCTTTCAAGCCAGTATTTTTTTTAAGCAGCTTTAAAAAATTAAGAAGGGGGAAATTGTACCCTCAGAAGCCTGATGGCTGTCTGAGTGTTTAGTGAGAAATGTGGAACAGAGGAATGTCAGCTCCAATGACACTCCTCCAGAGGAACTAGAGTGAAAGCCCCTGAACCAATGTTCCTGATATTGAGGTTCCATCCTGCAGTCTGGGTAAAGCAGGAGACTACTGAGGAGTTTGGGACAAAGGTTTTATCACTATTTAGTAAAAGCTAAAAGGAAACAGAGATCAGAGCCACACCACTTTTGTTTGGCTATTGGCAAATTGATGTGAGGCACCTTTAAGAAAGATGGTTCCTAATAGCTGCACAAGAAGTTTTTCTGGAAGCTTTACAGAAGCTCAATACAGCAATTCTACCCTCACCCTGAGGCGAGGCTTCTGGGTAGAAAGAACCGGAAGTGCTGCTCTAACTGAGTGAAGTTTCAGCAATGTTTGTTTGAATTGTGTCACTCAGGGAAGCTGCAGTGAGTTTGGGTGACAGGACAGCCCCCAGCTGGCAGCTGCTGTGCACACGTCTGCCGATTCCAGAACGACTGGAAGGGCCAGAGGGAAAGGTGGTTTTGGGGAGTGGCATCATCCCAAGTGTTACAGCCCCCTAGCAACAGCAGTCACCAAATCCCAGGGTCAAAGGAGATGGATATGACTCTAGAGCCACTAACGAATTAGGCTCTGGTTTCCAACTGTCAGGGGAACTTTATGGATGTTATCAAAACTGACTGTGAACTTCAGAAATGAAGCAGTTTTGAGCTCACCTGCAATTTTAACTGGTGATTCTTGATTCATGTACTCCATCTTGTTGGAAGAAAATGTAAATAGTTCTATTAAGAGATCTGTTTTAGATGTTTGCTAAAGTTTACAAGGTAATCCTATAGAGAGTATGCTTTTGAATGTAAGTTTGTAAGAAGTGTAAATACATATAATAAATAGTCATGCTAGTTGTAAATATGTATAGTATGCTCAAACTAGAATTATGTTGACATTAATGAACCAGGGTTTGGTGAAGCTAAGGGCCACTAAGCTTTAAGTTTGATGCAGTTTATTTGATGCAGTTTACATCAAGAGTTTATTGATTTAAAAAAGGGCTTGGCACAGCTAAGGCTGTTATAGACATCTTAAGACGCATTCAAAAAAGAATATTCCATCTTGGTCATCCTCTACTCCTTTACTGGGGCATATGGCCTAGGAATTGCTGGGTTGTTTAAACTACTTGCAAGCTCTTAGTAGGGACCTAAGTCACAGTTGAGTTAAGCTCTGTACCCCCTCTTGCCAGAGGCTGGTAGTCAGGGACAGGCAACGTTCTTCTTGTTCACTGCCAACCTAAGGTAAATGATAGAAAGTATATCTCTATGATAGGTAAGGTTTGTCTAACTGAAGAAGACAACCTAAGACAGACACAGTCTATCTGAGGGGCCTGAGGGGCTCTTTACCTAGTGAGATCTGAGCTTGCTTTATTCAGCAGGGCTGCATAAGGGGGTAGATTGACAACATGTGTGGTTACTAGGTGTTTGAAAGGGTCTGCACTTGGCTGTGCAGTGTGCTTTGATCTAGCAAGGGGGAAGTCTTTTGCCCTGCCCCTTGGCATTCCTTTAAAATGCCCTTTAGAAGAGACAGAAGGGGCCAGTGGATTTTGATCCAGGTCCTCCCAAAGCTATCCTGTGTTTCTGTTTCATCTCCACTCTTTCTATCTACTAACTCCTTATGCATCTCTCCTCCTCATAGGAACCCTGTAAAAGGTAGTGGTGGGCCCCCCACAGTACATCTTAAAATTGATACTTTGGGAGTAAAGTGGTGATTTGAGCCCACAGTTAACATAGCACAGTTATACATTGAGAATATCAACTTAAAGCTGAAAAAAAAAGATTAAAAAAAAACTACCACCTCAATAGAAAATATCAGTCACTTTGAAGCATGTGTTGCCCGATGAAAGTGGCATCACAATGCTGCCTTCGGTGTAGCAGTGAGATCTTGTACTTCACATAGCTGAGCAACAGCAAGTGGAGGGCAAACAACAGTTAAAGACCTCAGTGCAGGAAGCAGATTAGAAGCCTGGCACACATCTGCAATAGATAAAGGCAGCTTAGATTATTACATTGCTAATGACCCTACGTACAGGTCACCAAGGCCTGCAGTTCAGGAATTTGTTCCGCATTTATTAAAAAGCAAAGAAATTATGAGATTAATAGAACAAAAGCTTAGTGCTGGTGAGCCCTGAGAAAAGTGTGAGGGATTGTGCAATGGCTTGCTTTGTATTGACCCAGCAAAAGCTAGATTTGAATAATAAATTGTATTAGTTATTTTCACACATGCATTTTAAAAGCATATGCTTTCACTAACATTAGCAGCGAAAGCCAAATTCCTGTGTGGTCATGAATGCATCTGAACACATAAGCAAAGGAGAGTTGTGGTAGACTGAGCATGCCTTTGAAACACCGAGGTCTAAATCTCAGATACCAGAGGCAGGAGATTGGCTCACTTTTGTAGCTTCCCATTTCAGAGTTCTTAGGAATGTGAGTAATGCCATGCTGTTGGCTGAGTGATCATGTAAACCACCTGGTAAATGTTTGTCAAACTAACTGACCCAACAAGAATCCCTGAGGATGTGGGTGTTTGTTGTATTTTTAAATATCTAAAAGTCGTTTTTCTGAAAATAATTTTTACTGACTAACAACATGGTGAAGGTGAGCCTAGAGGAACTCCTATCTGGAGAATTCTCCAGCATGCAAGTACATAGTTTACGCCTGCAGCCACTTGGCACTCAGGATGAGCACTCAGGAGCCTTACTTTACATCCTGACTACAGACATAGTGGCCTGCTTCAAAGTGAACAAGAAAACTGGAGCTGTTGCTAGTTCTGAAAATAATATTTTGAACCTCAAAATGTATTAGTCCTCAAAAAAAAAAAGTTTTTAAATCAACTTTCCATTCCTGCTAGTACCATATAAAAAAAACTTTGAAAATGCAGGAACTGGATGGTCAAACTTCTTGCCCATAACAGGTTACAAATGAGAGGTTTTTAGAGTACATGTGAACAGTATTTGTTCAGTTTTCCTGAGAAGGGGGTGGGGTATAAAAAGAGGTATAAGATTTTAGAAGTTTCCTGATCTAGTAGGTTTTAAAAACCAGAATATTTTATCCTCAAAACCAAAATATAAAGTTTTCTTTTCAGACACTTGGAATATACCTGGCTGAGGCAAACACCACGGAGTTCTTACTGCTTGAGGTGCATAAAAGGAATCGTGGAAGAACCATGGGAAGAAATTCATGAAAGCATGCCTGCTGAGGATCACCTGGAACTGCTCTATTGTAGTCTGCTGAGCGCCCCTGGGACTATGCTCCTGGGCTACAGTTTTGAGGATCACCTAGTACTGCTCTGTTGTAGTCTGCTGAGCACCCCTGGTACTATGCTCCTGGGCTACAGTTTTGAGGATCACCTAGTACTGCTCTGTTGTAGTCTGCTGAACACCCCTGGTACTATGCTCCTGGGCTACAGTTTTGAGGATCACCTGGTACTGCTCTGTAGCCTGCCGCACGCCCCTGTTGCAGTGGTCCCGGGCTACAGTTGGTTGTACCAGATCTCCTTACATCTTCAGCTGCAGAACAGTTGCTGCCAGCCAGCCTGGGTATGAAGAGGGGTGTGCATCCAATAGCACCACCCACACAGAGGCAACTGAACAGTGGATGCGGCTGAAATACTTGACCATTCTGATAATGGACCCTGTTGAACTCACATCCAACAGCCACAAGATCTGAAAAGAAAAAAGCAGCAGATTGTCAAAATAATAATAATAATAATAATAATAATAATAATAATAATAATAAAACTATATAGCTTGGCTAGATAGACCTAGTCCAATTATAGCTGTCTCTTATTAATGTAGTTCTTAATCCCTTAAGCCACTTTGGAATCTCCTTCACAAAGCATCTACAGAAAGGTCAAAGTGGGGTGTTTGTATTTTTGTATAGGCTATAAACTCCAAATAGTCACTTCTAAAAAACCCAGAAGCTCTGCTTGGAGTGAAGGCAGCTATTAAAATCCTAAGCTTGACAGTGAGGTGGTTATAAATAAAGGGTAGATGCCTGGGGAGACAATTCTACTCAGATGCACAAATACAGGCCAGAATGTATCCATAGGCAGTTTGGAGAAACCATGGTTTAACTGGAGTACTGCAAGGTAACTGGAAAGTGGAGGAGACTTTGACTTCCTCCAAGGACTGTCTTCCCTTTCAGGATGAGCAACTTTCCAAATGTGCTCCACCAACCCCGTAGGAATAGCTGGTGTATTTTCAAAGAATCTGAAAAGTCAAAGCTCTTCAAGACACCGGATGTAATAGGCTTTGTCACTGATGTGTGACATCAATGGGACAGTCAGCAATAGCTGGAACTGATTGGGCAGTACAGGAAGTGGCTGTGCTCAGCCTTTTGTGCACTTGTACTTAGAAAAATGTAAAACAGCATTCTTGTGATATTTTATTTGTGTTCTAACAAATAAAACTTATCTGGGGATCAAAGAACCGAGGGAGCCACTAAATTAGACATAGAGGCCAGGCCGTGGTGGCACACACCTTTAATCTTATCACTCAAGAGGCAGAGAGCCATCTGGATCTCTGTGAGTTCAAGGCCACACTGGGAACAGAGGCAGGCAGGGTAGCATACACCTTTAATCCCAGAACATGTCTCATGTCTTTGCTTGGGAAAGACACATGCCTTTAATCCCAGGAAGTGATGGCAGGAAGCAGAAAGGTATATAAGGTGTGAGGACCAGGAACTAGAGAATTTTTTAGAGCAGTTCAACTGAGACCCTTAAGGGTGAGGACTCAGAGGCTTTCAGTCAGGATTCATGGAAGCAGGATTGGCTGAGGAGTTGTCGAGGTGAGGTTGGCTGTGGCTTGTTCTATTCCTCTGGTCTCTCAGTTTTCACCCCAATATCTGGCTCTGGCTTTTTATTTATAAGACCGTTTAGCAATTCAAATTACACATTCTCCTCACTAAAGTTTTCTTTGCTGTCAATCTTTTTTTAAGAAAAATATATTATTACTACTATCTTATATTGGATGTGTTTCATTTAAACAAACTTTAAAATTACAAATCCATTAAATATCAATTGACAAAAACCCACATTAGCAGAAGCTCTAATCCTCGGGGGTTGCTAGGACTGTAAAGAAATGGCCCGGACTTTAAAACAGAAGTTTCACAATGAGTGTTCTACGTCAAAAGTCAGCAAATGTTCCATAAATGACTGAATGGCTTAGTCATTCCAGGCCGCATGGTCTCTACACTGGTTTGCTCTGTGCAGCAGGCATAGACTGTCAACAGCTAAGCTGTGTTTCCAAGAGGCGTCAGCTACAGGCCAATCTGTGGTCTAGGTTTAACCCTTGCTGTAGTTGAGGTCCCAGTTCTAGATCACCTCCCCCATTTGCTGTTAAAGATCTCATGTTTTATGTGAAACCACTTGTGGGGAGATACATCACAGCCAGACAGAGTAAAGCAGAAAGTGAATGCCGCGTCTACATCCTCACATTTTACATCCACAAGTTAGTTTGTTTTTACATCCAGACCAAAGTTTCCTCCCTCCCCTCCCAGTGCTCCCCACTCCCATCCACTCCTTCTCCTTCTGAAGAAAAACATCCATGCGTTTTAAAAGTGGATTATTTTCTCCTTTCAGGAAAGGCTGAATTCAGATTAATTTTAGACAGTATTAACAAAAGCTATCATTTTTAAGTCAGACCCTAGTTACATGATTTTTCCTATATTCTGTCATGAAAAGCTGCTACCTGAGCCAGGCTTGGTGGCACCTGCCTTTAATCCCAACACTCAAGGCAGAGGCAGGTGGGCCTCTGTGAGTTCTAGGCCAGCTTGGTCTACAGAGCGAGTTCCAGGACAGCCAGGGCTGTGTAGAGAGATTCCCGTCTCAAAAACAGAACAACAAAACAGCAACCTGAGAACTTCAAGGTAACTATGACAGGTTTTCAAACATGTCTATGAATGTCATGTTATCCCATACAACTGAGTCAGCCCACTGGTGCACAAAAACTGCACCCATCTTGTATTTAGCTGAACTAAATTCACACCCTGAATTAACAGTCGGGCAGGGAAATGTGTCTCAATTCAGCCTTTTCCAATGCGCCCAGAAGACACTTACGTGCACACACTCCCGTCTCGTACCTAGGTGTGTCGGCTGAGTAGTCACAGTACAACGCTTTGTGGGGGTCACAGAGGTCGGCTTCGTTACACATGGCTCCTCGTTGCTTGGCGCAGATTTTGCAGCATCCGCAGCCATCCCTCACCAAGCTCACCCCAGGAGGACAACTGGGCTTCTGAGCAGGACATTTGCAGGGCCAGTGACAGACTTGTTTACGGTGACGCACTTGTGATGCTTCTCCAGCCCCTCCTCCTCCGGGGGTCGTGTCTGGTGACCCAGTGCCCTGCGTCCTGCAGCAGAGCTTCATTTGATGATAAAGGTGATGTTAGAAAAGGTTCCTGAGACAACTCTTAGGTCTGTAGGAGATGTGTGCCAAACAGGTGGTGAGCTACAATATTATTAGTATTTGACAGTCTGGTGAGTTACAGTATCAGTATTTGATGTGGCCACTCCCTGACTCCTCACTGGGTTTCTAAGACATCTCTCTTTCCTCTTCCTCCTCTACACCACTCTTCAGTCTCCGAGCTGCTTTGTTTTCATCCTCCTGAGCTCGGCACTGAAGCCTCTTGGTAAGCTCTCTCCTTTCCCCTCACTTCATCTCATCTCCCAACCAGCTCGCTCTTCTGAACTCACTGCTTAACTGCCCCACTTAGATGGTAAATAGCCAGAGGGAACTTCCCATTTCCCCCCAGTCATCTTTTTTCCATCTACCCATTTCCCTATTTGAGCAAATGTCCATTGCAATTTTCCAAAATACCTTGTGTATTGGATCATGCTGAACTCACATTTTAGCATCCAATTTCATTGATAAATCTTGTTGGTCATGCCTTTAAAATATTTCACCTTTGGGGGCCCACAGAGGCTCCCTAGTAAGGCCTTACTCAAGGTCAGAAAGTCTGAACTTGCTTTGCCCAGTAGGGCTGCTTAATAGGATGATTTGGTCAAAGGCGTGGGTAACAGGAGTTTTGAAGGGTCTACATTTGTTGGTATTTTATGCCTCAACCTAGGGAGGGGGAGGTCCTTTGCCCCTCCCCTTGCTGATGTATAAAAGGCCCATCATGAATAAAGTCAGGTGACTGGGTATTGACCCAGGGCCCTCCCGAAGCTATCCCTTGTCTCTGTCTTTCTCATCGTCTCTGTCTATATTTCTATCTAATACTTCTCAATTCCTCACTCCTCCCCCAAGAACCCTTCAACAGGTTGGAGCTGGCCTCCGACAATCACCACCATTACCCCCGACCTCCGAATCCTCACTCCTACTACTGTGATCCAACCCACTATTAGTTTTCACTTGGATGATTAGAAAAGCCACCTATACAGTCACCTTTATTCAGCAGCCACAATGACTTTTTAATAAGTCAGCTCATGTCACTCTATGTCCACAGGGCATGAGTCCCTCGTGCTTCCAGGTGAAACCCTTTCCCCTGGTTTTGTTACACCTGACCATCCCCAATCTCCTGGCCTGTTAGCCTGTGCTGGACTGTACCTTAGACACATCACTGTCACGTTGCTCATTTCTCAATACTACCACCTCTCAGTCTCATTCCCCACCCCATCTTCAGTTTTCTCCCTATGTTATGCACCTTCAAAACCGAATTCCTGGCAGAGACTGCCCCCGTGACCTAGAGGCCCACACAGCTGACTACCCAATGGGCATGGATACCCAAATGTCCTCTAGGAAAAACGGGTTCAAAACTCATCTTTCACCCAGACGATACTTGGAGTCATCCAGGCCAAGCTCCTCCCCCTCACATCATAGCCATGCCATGGCTAATCCTGCTTATTATATTGTCCTCATGCTCTTAGATCTATTCTTTCTTATTTCACAGATACTAAATGCCATACTATATGATTGTATTACTCCTTAAAGTCCCCCAGTGGCCCCCACTGTCTGCCACTTACAGTGCAAACTTCTGAACATGGGACCTTCAAGTCTGTCCCCGCCATGCCTCTCTCAATGGTCTCCTTCTATGCCCTGCTGTTTATGAGATGCTGTTTATTCTCATCCCTGCTTCTCCTGTTGCTCCCTGTTATGCTTTGAATTTGAAAATGTCAGCCACGGACTGTTTTGAAAACTTGGCCCTCAGCTTGTGATGCTGTTTTTGGAGGTTCTGAAAAATTTGGGAGGTGGGAAGGCCTAGCTGGAGAAAATATGCCGCTGGGGAGTATGGGCATATTTATCCCTTTCTCCCTGCCTGCGTCCCATCTGGCTTCCTGCTTCTTGGTCCGCTGTAATGTGAGCAGCCTCTTCCATCATGCTATGAACTGTTTTACCACCATGAAGGGCAGAGCCTCCCGAAACCGTGAGCCAAATTGTTTCCGTCAGGCATTTTGGCCACAGCAGAGCAAAGGTGGCTAAGACACTCCCTCCTGTAATGTCCACTCTCCAAACTGTCCACCTGGAAATGTTTATTTTCCCCAGTCTTGAAATATTTTTAGACCATCTCAGAAATTAAAGAGTAACACGGGGGAAATCCATGAATAAAAGAGAAATTCATGCTAGTAGCCTGAGAAGAGGGAAAGGCTACATACAGAAGAACAGAGCTGACTCAGCAGAAGAGGCAAGAGGGAAGGGTAAAGGTGCCCAGAGAAGATGCTAGAAGAAAAAAAAACAGTCAACCTAGAATTCTGTGTCTAGTAAAATCAACATAAACAGAAGCAAACAGGGCTGAGGAGATGGTTCAATGGGCACTTTTTACTGCAAACATGAGGACAGGAATTCAGAACCCATATAAATCAGATGTGATGCAGAGCGTGCATCTGGACTCCCAGCATGCCAGATGGGGGAGCTAACAGGACAGTGCCAGAAGCCATGGGCCACCTGACCTATCTTAAGCATCAGTAAACAGAAAAACTACCTCGACCAAGGTGGAGGGTGAGGACGGACGCCCAAAGTGACATTTACACAAACATGCACAAAGATTTTTTTTTTAGTGAATGTGGAATAAAAATTTCCAGATAAACAAAACTGTTTTGTTGGTTGGTCGATTTGCTGTTGTGTTTCTGGCTTAGGTTTCTTTGCGCAGGGTGGGGGGGGGGGTGTTGTTTTTTGTTTTTCTTAGCAGACTCACCTCACAAAAAAAAAAATCAAAAGAAATAATAGATTGTAATGCAAAAGTACAAAAAGTAGGACTCACAAAAAAAGAAAATATATTGAGACTATAAGGAATTTTACATATTTTTTCTTTTCAGATATTTTGTTTCAAAAGCAAAGTCTTGAGACCACAAGAATGATGCAAGAGAATGCTCTACAAACAGATCTGAGCTTTGGGATAGAGCTGTGGTCTTAAATAATTTCCTATTATTTGGTCTTTGAGTATCAGTCTTCTGTGAAATGGGATTAATACACACTTGGTTCAGTAGTTCTGAGTCGAGGTGATTAAGATATTGACTAGCAAAGTGTCCGACATCAACCCTTGGTTATGTCTGGAAGTGTGCCTTAGAAAAGCTCGGTCTAGGGGTAGACATGGGAGAATCAGGCCCCAGGATTGCTAACAGCCAGTCCTAGAAACTAGGAAAGTGCCAGTTTCAGTGAGAAACCCTGGCTCAAAAAAACAAGGTGGCCGGGCGGTGGTGGCGCACGCCTTTAATCCTAACACTCGAGAGGCAAAGGCAGGTGGATCTCTGTGAGTTCGAGGCCAGCCTGGTCTACAGAGCGAGGTCCAGGACAGGCTCCAAAGCTACCCAGGATTTTGAGAAATCCTGTCTCCAAAAAAAAAAAAAAAAAAAAAAAAGTGACAGAGACAGGCACTCGATGCTGAACTCTGACCGCCATACAGACACACAGACACGAGCACCTACACACATGTGCACACATGTTTGCCACAGGTACACACACAAGCCTAGTCACCATTGTTCAGAATGTGTCACGAGTATGCTGACCTGGTCCACGGATCCACACATTCGTGGATTTTCAGGTGAATGGGCGAGAAGGTGGTACCTTACCAAAGTACATCATTGGGGGGGTGTCATTACAGCTTTTCTCCTGCCTCTTCCTCTGACTTCTCCCTCTGCTTCTGACATAAGTTGCCTCCTCTGTCGCATGCTTCTGCTACCATGTTGTGTCTCCTCAGAGGCTGAAATGAGCCAGCCAACAACCGTGGACTAAAACCTCTGACACTGGGAGCCAAAGTCAACCTTCCCTTCCCTTGGTTGTTTTTCTTGGGTTTTTTATCCCAGTGACCAAGAGGGGGGAATAATCAGTAACACAAAAATAAGCACAAAGTGATATCTTCTGCTCTAAGCCCAGTATCTTTTTATGTTTGCACTTGTTTTCTATTCTGCACATAGCTCTCTGTGCCGGAATACTTACTGTTTAAGAACACATCCTAGCCCTCCGTTGACAATAACCACCTGCCTCCTCCCCAGAATGTAGAACAGGAGAGCTGGTTGCACAGCGGCTGAAGAAATGTGTTCCAACTGTGAGAACGGGAAGAACCCCACCCCGACATCCTCCTAGGGATCCCTTTGAAACCTTACATCCTTCAACAGAGTAACAACTTCCCCTGTAACCTCTGCTCCCCAGGTCAGAACCCGCTCTTAACTCCTCATCCGTGCATGTTTTCTAAGTGACCCTGGAAGAGGTCAGAGCTCTGTCCTCCGTTCCAGCAGTGACCTTCACCATGTAAATAAGTCAATAAATAAGTCACCCTGCTTTAACTGTCTCATTTTAAAACACTGAATTGCTCATATTAAATTAAACTTCCTTTGATCTGCCCTCTGAAATAGTTGGAGCTTCCATGGACAGTCACTCACAAAAAATGAGAGCCCTGAGGCTTGAGAAAGACAAAGTGATAGTACGTTTTTAAAAACTAAATGTTCCTTGCTAAGTGCCCCTTTCAAACAAGGACAGGCTTAGCTGGAAAAAAAAAAATCATTGCCCAAAACCGTTTTTCCAGGGGCTCTTTGCACACTGCAAGCTGTGGAAAGATGATCCTGCGCCTCTACCCCGCATTAAGGGACAGTGTTTAGGGCTGTGGCCGCCAGCATTACCCATCCGAGAGCTGGGGCTGGGCTCTGTAAACAGATACAAGGTAATATTTGTAAGTAGATACAAGGTAACGTTTGTGGATTATTCACACATCGCAAGCAAACTTCGGAGGGTACACCTCAAAGGGGGAAATGTCGAGCATCTTTCACAAAGCTCTTAAGCTAAATTAAACAGAACTTTCTGGAAAGGAAAATGGCTCCCCATTTCTCACAAAATTGTTACCCGCATCTTTCCCCATTTCCATCTTGCCGTTTTACTTTGGGTCTGAAGAAGTACAGCCGAAGCCTGGGTGTAAAACAAAGACTTACCTGTGCTAGTCCAGTAATGAGCAGAGTGCAAAAGAGGAGGCCGTGCATGATCCCGGAACGTGGGAGGATGGAGAGATGGAGGAGCACTGGCAAGTCCTTACTTAGGGCACAAAGCTCTCCTGTGTCCTGCACAGGGAACCAAGTCTCCACCTCCCGGGCTTCCGTCTCCCAGGCTGCACTTTCCCTCTGAGGATCCATTCCGGTGCCCTGCCTTATTTCATGTGACTTCTAGCAGTACTCCAGTCTGCACAGTTCATCACGAGAGCCCAGCACCTTCCTGCAAACAAACTCTGTAAAATCAAGCGGAGGCTTCTCTCTGAGGGAGGGCTGGCGCTCTGTGCTTGAGGTCTGAGCCTGTCTTCCAGGAGGTGGGTGGCCTTAGACACCTTCCCTCCCTGTCCTTGGTCTCTGTGATTCCTCTGCTGGGTGCTGGTATGGTCCCTCCCCTTTAGGTACCACCTGAGTTTCATGTTCTAGAAACCTTTCTTGAGCAGGTAGCCCCCACCTCACCGTCTCTGAGCTCACCCCACCCCTGTCCTCTACTCCAACACATAGCTCATCCCTGGGAACCGGTAACCAGTACACCTAAATGGGTGTGGGCGGACTCCCATAGTGCATTGCCTAAGCTAGGCCCCTTTCTGCGGTCACAGTTCCGTGGAAGACGACAGGGAAGTTAACTCCAGATTTTTCCCAGCCTAGGACCAAACGTTCACATTCATAGAAATAGTAGGATTTTTAAAACTTACCAAGCTCTACAAGATACACATTAATATGTACAACTTTATGTTTGTATGTATCAGTTAAAACAACCTTTAAAAAAAATCTAAAAAGTTCAGTTTTTATGAATTTGTACCATTTCCCTCCACCTATCCCTCCCCACATGTGGTCACCAGCCTGTCCCCTCTTGTCCCTAGGACCTCTGTGTACCCTTCTTGCCCTTCCTTCTTTCTCTACCAGAGCCTTGCTTTCTTGAGGACCCAGCAGTCAAAACACCTTCCCATGCCTGTCCATCCCGGCCTGTCCCCTAGCCTGCTCCTGGTGTCTCTCTTATCCTGAGCTCATGGCTCATCTCTTTGTAGTGGGTAGTCATTCCAGCTTTGATCTGGAAGTTCCAACCCCCATTGAGACTTCAGCAACTGTCACGCCTACAAGGCGGGGCCAAGGGAGGCGCCTGGAGACCTGAGATCTGGATGGGCTGTGCTCTGACTCTGTTGCGGGACCCTGGACTGTGGAGGTGGGCCAAGCAGAGCTCCAGAGAACACCGCTGGACTGCGATACACCTTCCCCAGACCCCGCGACCTACCTATCCCTTAACTTGTAAGTTACGCCATTAAATAAATCTCCTTTTAACTACGTGGAGTGGCCTTAATAATTTCACCAATACCTCTTATCCTGAGCTCATGGCTCACCTCTTTGAGCATGAAAGTAGCACATAAGTAAGCAGTGAGCGCTGGGAGTCTGATGTTCCCACGGAGCCAGGAGTGCTATCAGCGTGTACACAAACACAGACAGCCCACAGTTACACACACACACACACACACACACACACACACACACACACACACACACCGGACCACCCAGACGACGCCCCATACTGCGGCAGCTCTGAGGCCTCCGATCAGTTACTTTTCTCTTGACTTTGATAAAATGCCTGAGAAAAGCGACTTAAGGAAGCAGAGCTTCCATGCACAATCCGTCAAGGCACGGAAGTCAGGCGGGAGCGTGGGGCCGCAGTTCACATGGCAGTCACAGTCGGGAAGTAGAGAAAGAAAGTCAGAGCTCATTTTACTTCCTCCCTTTTATCCAGCCCAGGTCGCCAGTCCATGCCTGTGTTCAGGATGGGTCTTCCCACCTCAGCTAGTTCTTTCCAAAAAAGCACCCCTACAGATCCTACAGATCCAAGGAAGGACATATTTCTAAACTGATTCCAGAGCCTGTCAAGTTGATGATCAGGACTGAGCATCACGGGGTTATCTTGCTCCTTGAGAATTAAGACAAACCCCCTGAGTGGTTCGGTGAAGGAAACTGTGTCTGCTTTTGGTCCAGTCTGCTCTTTCTCTTTTTTTTTTTCCCCCCGATGCTGAGGACTGAACACAGGGCCTTGCACTTGCCAGGCAAACGCTCTACCACTGAGCTAAATCCCCAACCCCAAATAACTGATTTTTTTTTTAAGTTTTAGTTTTAGTTTTTAGTTTTTCAAGACAGGGTTTCTCTGTGTAGCTTTGCGCCTTTCCTGGAACTCACTCTGTAGACCAGGCTGGCCTCGAGCTCACAAAGATCCACCTGCCTCTGCCTCCCGAGTGCTGGGATTAAAGGCATGTGCCACCACCGCCCGGCTTCTTTCTCTTTTTATTTTCCCAGTTTGGTGATCATTTGGCATTTGGATCCCCAGGCACAGTGATTCTTGCCCCTCACTGGCCATCAGATTTGATAAGTTCTTGGTCCCTAGCTCTTCAACTCCATCTCTCTGGCTCCAACTCTCTCTGTTTTAGATGGGAAGACCATTTTTTTTCTCAGAGCTGAGGATCGAACCCAGGGCCTTGTGCTTGCTAGGCAAGGTCTCTACCACTGAGCTAAATCCCCAACCTAAGATGGGAAGTTCCCAAGTATCTGCAGCACTCAGACTTGCAGAGATCCCTGCTCCTCCTATTTGCTCTCTGTGAAAAGCTTGCAGCAGCAGCCATTTTTCTGGAAATTTCTTCCTTCACTCTACACTCTCACAGTCATGGAACAGGGACTGTCTGTCCATCCTTGCTCTCAGTAGGAAAGGAAGAACTAGCTAGCAAAACCTCACCCAAGTAAGAGACTCCATCAGCTCTGGGTTACTCCCTGCCACCCTCTTAAGAGACTCCATCAGCTCTGGGTTACTCCCTGTCACCCACTTAAGAGACTCCATCAGCTCTGGGTTACTCCCTGTCACCCACTTAAGAGACTCCATCAGCTCTGGGTTACTCCCTGCCACCCTCTTAAGAGACTCCATCAGCTCTGGGTTACTCCCTGCCACCCTCTTAAGAGACTCCATCAGCTCTGGGTTACTCCCTGCCACCCACTTAAGAGACTCCATCAGCTCTGGGTTACTCCCTGCCACCCACTTAAGAGACTCCATCAGCTCTGGGTTACTCCCTGCCACCCACTTAAGAGACTCCATCAGCTCTGGGTTACTCCCTGCCACCCACACTTAGACTCACCAACGTTCACTGCTGTTTAACTATTTCAATCCTGAGTGAACTGAGGGAACCGGATATTTTTAGAGGTGGGAACTGCTGTGTTCAGCTTTCTGCAGTAAAAGCCGCCCCAGTGTATCCTCTTCCAAGGACTTTCTCCTATTATCTCATCTCTCTCCCTATTATCTCATTCACAAAGTACTCAGCCTGCGATGTCCCCTCAAACAGACACAGCCCTCAGCATAACTAATACGTGAAGCACATTTCATGACTTACACGGACGGTTCCCATGTATTATCTCTTTTAATTTCACAGCTCAGTGAGGTGGACAAAAGCAGTATTACTGTCCTCATTTAACAGATTAAAAAGTTAAAGCTAAGTCATTGTACTCGGTCAATAAAACACTCTTAATCCTTGCCCTCAAGAGCTATGCAATCTAGCAGCAGAGCAGACCTTGAATACATAAACACACAAAATATCCATCATTAAAAACCGCATAAAGGCTAAGAACAGGAGGGAAACTCAGACCGAATGACAGATAAGAGCTAATTTACATTGCAGGTGCCTTCAAAAGTTCAGACATGACACCAGGTGAAGGGAGGATTTCTGCCCCGGTACTCAGGCAGGCTGCATGCCTCTAATGATGAGAGGCCCCCGTCAGCCAAGGACACATCCCACCGCTGGTCCTTCCTTTAAGGGTATCATCACAGGGAGTCTAATCCCTTCTCCACGACCATCAGTCTTCTTCGGCAGGCAAAAGTCAGAACCCACGTTCTTAGTTAGCAAGCTTCAGTCAGCATGAGTTCCTTTCTTCATCCCTTCTATTCCGGTCTCTTTGGTGATAGAGAGGGTCCCGGATCGCTAGGTCTGAAAGAGAGACAGCCATTATTGTGTAGTAACCTACTGGAAAGGAGGCACACTGTGAGGGAGGGCCTGTGTTCCCTTCAGGGAAAGTAGACTGAATAATAGTAACAGCTACCATCTGATGAGCCCCCCTGGGTCTCCACAGGGCGCTCGCTGTGGGATATGGATCACGTGATTCTCACAGCCCCGGTGTGAGATGGATAGAACTGCCACATCCTTGGGTTCACTGACTAGGAAGCTAGTCAAGGTTACCTGGAGAGTCAGAGGTAGGGCCAGGGCCCCAAGCTGTCTGTCACGGTTGTTGGGATTCCACAGCCTCGCCACAGAGCCTAGACACTGCATAGTAACCGGTAGCACGTTCATTTGCCCGGCGTTTTCAGTGCTTTCCTTTCTCTTGGTCTCCTCCTAGAGTTCACCAAAGTGAGGGATGCTCTATTTCCCACCAATCCGTGCCCCACACAGAAAGCGGAAGCCACCGAAATGGCTCATCCTGTCTCTTGAAGCCCTGTCTTGAGCTCATTGAAGACGGTGCAGGGGGAGGAATGCTGTTGGGGGCCCGGGTGAGGACAGGGTACTCCGGCCCCCACCAGGGAGTGACCCCAGGGAAGGAACAAGACCCTGGTGGGACTTGGCTCAGTGGGATGCATCCAGGAAACTCACTTGATCCCAGAAGTTCCAGCATCAGCAAACTTCCTGGGAGCACTCTCCATGGATCTGGAGCACTCTCCATGGATCCGGAGCACTCTCCGTGGATCCACAGCCTCAAGCACGTATCTGCAGAGGAGGAAAATCCAGGTGCAGTAAGAAAACTTGGGGACTGAAGCTCAGTGGCGGACCTCTTGTCAAGGCACCATCTGGGCCTCCTGAACTGCTGCTGTGTTACACGAATCTTAAAAGATCTTATTAATAAAAACAAACCCGGAGCCAGGTATTGGGGTGAACGCTGAAAGATCAGAGAAGCAGAACAAGCCACAGCCACCTCACCTCGCCATTTCCTCAGCTGATCTTGTTTCCTCAGAC